AAATACACATGCCGGGTGTATTATTATCATTACACTATATGATGACTTTATTATGATATGGGTGTTATTGTGTTCGGTTGATTGGAAAAGACAGTGCCAATACGATAGTGAAAAACAACAATCAAGAGACAATCATAATAATAATTGCACGTAAATTATTTTATCGTGTAGTGCATATTGCGTAAATAGTACCTACTGTGCTCAAACTAATTTTATGCTAACATTATTAACGACTGTTTATTATACGGATGCCATGTGCCTCGGAAATAAACTCGAAACACAAATGTTTACAACAAAGTGCAAACGATGCGATTTATGTCCTTTGGGCTTGTTAATTATATAATTCAGATTGGTTTACTCTGGACGATACAATATTGCATTCAAAACGGTTATTATTATTATTGAATTAACTTTGTTTATTACTTAGTGTGTAATGAATTTGTTGAATATTCGTATACGCCAACGGCGTGTAATATTGTTGTATAATGAAATCACCAACTCAAATCACTAATTTTATTGATAAATTTTAAACGAAAACGAAAATAGAAAAAATTACCCTAGAAATTCATAGTCACAAAATTTCAATGACTGTTCCGGTTTTATCCTTAATTCATATCCGTTATAGATGCACTTCGACTTCATAAAAATATTTAGTCGTTCATTTAATATTATTGTTTTGTGTAACAAATCTTTAAATTCGAATTATATTATTTTATTATTTTTAGTTATTATACACACAATATTGAAAATAGAAAAGCTTACACTGACGGCAGATGTTTTCGTAACAATTGTATTTAAATTGCACATACTATAAAGTTATGAATGGTATTTTATTGTTTTTTCATAAGTATAATTAATGGCAATATCTTCTTATTTTTATATTTTGAATCTTATATTGGTATAATCTTAATATTTATGTCTTGAATGGTGCTATTGATTTCATAACAATGTTTTGTTTTATAATAAGAAAACGTAATTTACAACTTTCACGTAGTTTAATCTTTAATCTGTCTGTAACATGTTATTATTATGCCATTAAACGGTTAAAATATATTAATATTATATATTTTGAGGGTATTGAAGTAGAATATTTTTAATTACTTCTTAATACAATTAAAATTCTGAACAATTACGGTAAAAAAATTCATTTAACCGTTATTTCGATTTTAATTTTAAAAATAATAATCACGGAAGCATGACAATTGAATTAATATGTTAGCCGAGAGATTTTTTTCTAGTTTTTTATTTCATATATTTACAGCAATATTATTATTTCTATACTATATAAGATTTTTATATAAGTATATTTATTTTTATAAATTGTTAATTTTCATGATCAACAATAATAATCTTAAAACAAAATTACCTTTCATAGGTTGTATTGTTTTTAATTTTGTACAGTTATCTATATTATGATTTAAATTAATTTTAACTACGACATTTCACTCACTCATTGCAGTTGGTAAATTAAAGACCAGGATCGCTTTTAAATTCGTTAACTTATTTTTTTATTTAATTTAAAATTACACTTATGTAATGTAAAATTATATTTTCAATTAGGTAATAATAAAAGTATAACTCATTGTCAGTTTTGTATACAGGGTTGATCAACTGGTCGATCGTGACATGAGTTCTAGTCGGTCGTAACTCCCTTAATTTTTTTTTTAATTTTATTAAGAAAACAAATAAATTATTTTTATTTTTTTTTGGGCAAATTTTGTACCTTTTTTCATCTTACGATTATAAAAATAAGAATTATAAAATTTTTAAAGAAAATATGTAGTCATAGTATTTAGTAATAAATAATTATGAAAAACACAATTATAAACTGAGATCCAGTAGCTATGTATAGTGTGCGTCATTTAAAGGATATTCCGTATTAAATAACGGTCTTTGTCGCGTTCGTATAAATTGATAAAAAAATAATTTAAAATACGTTTTATGTAAAAATTTTACTAAAATATATATAAAATATATTTAAATACTAAAATTAAACTTATTATTACTTATTAGTATTTTAAATAGATGAAATAAAGGATGTGTAAGATGCATGTATATAAAAAAATATTTTTAATTACTGACAACTTTTTTTAGTCAGTGTAACAGCCTAGAAAAACTTAAAAAGTTAATCATAAGTCTATAAAAGTTGGCTATTCTTGTATAGTATTTAAATATAAGTATTTGGATACTAGTATTTTAATTTAAAATTTATTTATTCTAAGTTATTTTTACTTTTTGAAATATTACTATGGTATTTCAAATATAATTTTTTTTTTTTAGGATTCTGAATACTTTTAAGAATATAAAAAATAATATATTTGTATTTAAATACTATAAAATCTTTTATATCAATTTTTTACAACAATTAAAAATCAATAAGAATACTTTTATAAGTCTTCAAGACGATATTAACGCTATCATCATTTTCAATAAATACCTACCCGTTTATTTGGTTTAGGTAATTCTGAGAAAAATTAATTATAAAGGTGTAAAATATTTAAATTTGAGTTGTGTATAAAGTATAATGTTTCTATGATATGATAACTATGAAATATTATTTATGTCATCGGTCTACCTTGTAAGTTATATATAACTCTACTAATAATATTTTGAATTTATTTTTAATATCGCGAGTATCAATATTATATTATGAAAAAATATTAGATTTCAAATGTTTAGTGAGTATTTATATAAAACTTTTTTTTATAAATATTTTCAATACCTACTTTTTTGTTCGAATATAAGTTTTGATATTTTAATAGTTTTTTAAATTTAGTTTTTACAAGACTGTTCTTGATATTATATTGAATTTAATAAGTTAATTATAATAATTTTGTTTAAATCTAGGGTAATCTTGTTCTTACAATTATTTTATTTCTTAAATTTGATAAGAAGATAATATTGCCATTATTGTCCTTGTATTATATCGTGTTCGTGATGCACGGTGCCTAGTGGATCGTTTAATGGATTACCTTAGTTTTCCATGATATTACGACACATTACCCTTTTGGCCTCTGGTTATATCATGCATTTATAGAAAACATAATAATTGTAATAAGATCAAATGCATCGATAGTATAAAGTTCACGTGGCATACGCAAGATCAATTAAATTTATAAGATGGTGTGATACATTTCTTGCTTTACTTATAATCCTTAATAAATTTAATTATTTGAAGTTAATCTGTCTCATTTAATAGTACCTAATATGTTTAGAATGTAAACAGTACACAAATACATGAATACAGTTATTTCAATTATGTATTATTATTACAATTATTTTATTCAACAGCTTTAATATTAAATTTATTTTAAATTATAATTGCTTAAAACTATCCTAATGGAGCATAAAATATGTAGAATTATATATGCTTAAAGACGAGTAAAAAATAATGAACATGAAGTAAGATTTCATAAACTGCATTAATGTAATAAATATATTAAAAGGTATGCTTGTTATTAAAAAATACAATCTGTTTGACTTTGTAATTAATTTATTATTTACTTTTAAAGTTTATTATTATCATCATTAGTATACACGTAGATTCTCCTCAACCATGACAATAATTTTAAATGAATGTACTGTGTATGCTACAGAAAGTAACTGGAACAAAATAAATTAATGTCATACTTTTCATAAAACCTAAAAAATGCACTATCAGATTAATATAATATTATCGGCTGATATATTATAATTAGGTAAAGTGAAAAATACCATAGTATATAATATAAAACTTATAATTCATATAATGTTTATAATTCGAGAATATTTGATAAGAATATGATACATTTTATGTTTATAATAAATTACAGTTTTCACTTGGTTTATTAAAATATATAAATTTGCATTAAACAAAATTAATTCAATTACTCTCTTAAACTTTAAAATTAGAACCATAATTTAGAAAGTTTTCAATATTTTGATGTATACAAATTCTAAGTATTGTATACATTTTTAACGCTTTCTCTGCAGATAACAACAGTTCAATTTTTCTATTTATGTAAAACACAAGGTCCAAAATTGTTAACTGTCAAAAAGAGACATAAATCATAACACTCACAAAACCTACATTTTCCTTGCCAAACCATTTTTTACTATTTAGTTATGTAATTGTTATCTCATATTTATTTTGTTCTTAATTTTACACCCACTTTCTTTGGAAACAATATGTCGCACAAGTGATTTTTTCAAGTGTTCCTAATGTGTCGTCAGTCGTCAGTGACATAGGTGGATTGCAAATCGGTCGAATAAAATAAGATGTTTCAACACCTGTTTCTTTGATTATCGATGGTTAAATATGCACGAAAAAAAATTTGTAATCATTTTGCTGTATCATTAATCGGACCGAAATTTGGATATTTGTCCGTGACTTGTTTCGTTTGTTGATCAACGAATCTTAAAAAGCAGATGTTCCACGGAACCTATTGTCGAATCCCACGTACTAGAGATTTCGTTTATCCTTTTGACTACTGTATATGTATGTATACATATTATTATAAATTAATTTTTTTCACAGTCACCGTGATTCATCAGCATTCATGTTGTAAATCATTCAACCGTTGCAAGCATCTCGTTGTTAACCTATATTTTCAGTACATTATCATTCATTTACACCATCTAGAGTCCATCACATTCTCGTTCATATTATTTGTTTACCAATTTACTAGGCCTTATTACTCTCGACCTCGATTCCTCCTATATTGCATATCGTATGTAACTGTTTATGATAAAATAATGACTAAATAATACTACGTGGATAGCCGGTGACAATAATGTACGTGAATGGCATTTCTTTCGGACATAATAGATAGCCATATAATTTCGGAACCAATAATATAACGAACCGTGGAAATCAATTCAATAGAAATTTTCGTTTACGTCTAAATGCCGTCTTATGAAAATGATGGCTCCCGCAACGTGCGTGAAATATACGAAAATAACCATATGTTTCTAAATATCTCATAATGAAGGATATTTCAAGATTTACTTAAATTTTACAGATATGAAAACCGAAGTTTTCATTGTGATAACATGTTGAGTTGAATAACGGCAAATAATGTCATCGACAGAGGACGAAATATGTTCGTCTATCGGTTTGGTTGGGAAATATATTGGTTGACAGTAGTGATCTTGGTACAGTTTTCTACTGCCAACAGACCTCCACAGTTCGTTACCGATTGGCAAACCGAAATAATTGTTCGCCTAAAAGAAGGACCAGAGACTCCTGTCGGTTAGTAAATTTATTTTTTTTAATATAAATAAAAAGTTAAATATAATAAGTTGTAACATTGGTGCTTTTGTCTTTAGGAAGTCTCATATACCGGGTTCGTGGTATTGATCCTGACGGCGATAAATTAATTTTTGGCGTCCGAGAACCTGGCAATAAAGTCATAAGAATTGAAAATTTTGGAAAAAGTGAAGCTAATATTTATTTGAAAATCGAATTAGATCGTGAAGTAAATGAAAACGCCATGAAAAATTATAAGCTTCTTTCATAATTTGTTTGTATAAATGTTTAATATTTTTTTACAGGCGAAAGACGAATATTCTTTAGTATTGACCTTGACTGATGGTCATTTAGGAGATGGGAATTTTATTACTCAGAGTTTCTTGTTGATTGTAGATGACATCAATGACAATGCGCCTATATTCAAGCCATATCAAAACACAATATTTGTACCGGAGGACAGTCCACCTACGATTATTGCAACGGTTGAGGCCACCGATGCAGACGAAGGCCCATATGGACAGGTAACATAGCAACAAATTGGGGTTTCACGGTCTGATGATCATCACCCTCATTCAAGTTCGTCTACACCGTGTATTTTAAAGCTATATTGTTCATTAAACCATTTCATGATATAGTAAATAACAAACATTGTATACAAGCATATATGACTCAACGAATCCCTACATTTAGGGTGGCTAAATAATATTGATATTATATTATAGTACTTGTATATTATACACTTAAAAACTTAAACAATATTTAATAAACATTTTCTAACGAACGCAATTTAATGTAATTATTATCTATGCGTGTAGGTAGTTTATCATTTGCAAGACACAGATGCAATAGAAAATGGACTGTTTTCTATATCCACGATAAACGGCCAAGGAGTGATTCGTCTTGTGGGGAACTTAGATTATGAAAAATCATCACTTCATCAACTAAAAATATTAGCCGTGGATCGTGCAACCGTTGAAAAGGTTCGTAAGCTAATAACAGTTATACTTGGTTTCATGTATAGATAAAGACTAAATATTAAAACCATTCCGTTATGTATAAAATATTTTTACTTAATAATTATAATAAACCGACTCTCATAATGATATAGAGAAATACCGGTACAGCTGCAATATTTGTGAAAGTACAAGATGTCGAAGACCAACCACCTGAGTTCGTTGTTGTTACTCCAGTAGCTAGAGTTAGCGAAGATGCACCGCCAGGGACTTCAATACTTCAAGGTTTTTATTTAGCTTAAATTAAACGTGAAAAAAATTGAAAACTAATCAATATTAATATACTATGTACATTAACTGTTTAATAATTAGTAAAAGCAATCGATGGAGATCGTGGTATAGATAATCGCATTGTATATTCAATTACACGTGGTGGTAATGAAATGTTGCAAGTTGAACCTAACTCCGGTATTGTCTACACCACAAGCATTTTGGATCGAGAAGATCCGTTTATTATTAAAACTGGTGCTATTATTATCGAGATCATGGTACAATAAATATTATATTGTTAGTATTGTTTTAATTGCATATTTTTACATATAATTTAAAACATTTTAGGCCACTGAAGACTCGAAAAACGTGTTTCCTAGTCCATGGACGAAAACTGAAGTTACTATAATCGTAACAGACGTAAACGATGAAACTCCGACGTTCCGTAGCCTTCAGTACATTGCTGAAGTTAACGAGAATGCTCAACAAAATACTCCTGTAAATTTTATTGGAGACTCAATACCACAAGTTTATGATTACGACCAAGGGAAAAATGGTACGTTTCGTTTACGAATTCAACAAGGCCGTATTGGGTATTTTGATATTACGCCATCCGAAGGTATTAATGAAGCATCATTTCTTATACGCGTAAACAAAACAGCTAATTTGGATTATGAAATTGTTAAAGGTATAATTCAACTTAAATATCCATATCTAATATTGTGATTATAATTTTAAGAACTATTTTTCTAGTGATTAATTTTACGATCGTCGCCATTGAAACAATAGCTAATAATCCAAAATATAGCATTGTACCAGTTTCGATTTATCTAAGAGATGTTAATGATAACTACCCAGAGTTTTCACAACCAATGTATGAAGTTTTTGTTTATGAAAACTCTGTTTCTGGTATGACTATTGGAAAAGTTAAAGCCACAGATAAAGATTCAGGAGTTTTTGGGACTAATGGTATACGATATACAAGTATTAGAGGAAGTTGTGCGGATTTGTAAGTAACACATAATACTACACATGATATTATATTATAAAATATAAGTATAAGGTTCTGATCATTTTTATTTTAGTCTCAGATTAAATGCAGAAACTGGAGAAATTGTTATACAATCAGATAGACCTGTATTTGATCGTGAACAGATATCTAAACACTTTTTAACAATAGAAGCACGGGATGATTTGGGTTTAGGAAATAGGAATACCGTTCAATTAATTATAAATGTGGAAGATGTTAATGACAACTCGCCACGATTCCTGTCTTCTAAATACGAAACAAGACTAAAAGAAAATCATTTAATTTTTGAATCTCCAGTTACCGTAGAAGCAAGAGATTTAGATTTAAATGGTAAATATATGGTTGAAATTAGAATTGTATTTTTTTTTACTATAATTTTTAAATTTTTAGGCACTAAAAATTCTGAAATATCGTATCGTATACTACATTCGGATTATTCGATTGAAAGTTTTTCAATTGACTCTATTACGGGATTTTTAAAACCAATAAGACCTGTAGATTTTGAAAAGCTACAAAATCGAAAAAGTGTTAATAGTATCAATGGAAATCTTCGACCTATTAATTTGGTTGTCCAAGCACAAGACCATGGTTCGCCATCACTTTCCGATGAAACTCACGTTGTTATATATGTAGAGGATGTTAATGATTTTGGGCCAAAATTTGAAAGCAAAAGTTATGAAACATCTATATCTGAAGATTTATCTGGTGGCAGTACGGTTTTGAAGGTGAGATTTGATATATTTTTTATTATTATGTTAAGCGAGCGTTCATTCATTTAAGATTTGTTTTCAAAGATATGTTTAATTGATGAAATGTGATGCATTCAATAAATTATAAATTAATATAATCATATTTTTTAGGTAAACGCATGGGACGAAGATGGATCAGCTCCAAACAACGTTGTAGTGTACAGGCTTAGTAGTGGAGCTGAAGATAAATTTGTAATCGATGCTTATACAGGTGTGATTAAAGTCGCAAATGGCGCATCATTGGATCCGGATAAAACTCAACCAAAAACATATGTGTACTATTTGGAAGTTGTGGCGATTGATGGGGGAATTGGTGATCAACAACTCAGTTCCACAGTAAACGTAACGATTAAAATCCTAGATGTGAATAACAAACCTCCGTTTTTTAAAGAAATGGAACCTGTTCATGTAAAAGAAAATGAATTGGTAATTCATAAATTGAATTTAAATTGGTGATTTTTTTGTTTATATAATATATTCAATTATTGTTATATCATAAGGTTGGAAATGTGATTACAAAAGTTGAAGCAGAAGATCCGGATGCCAAACCGGTGTTGCGATATAAAATCGACGTGAATGCTTCAGAAGCTAGAAATGAAGATGGGGTGATTGTTAGACCAACTGAGTATGATTGGCCGTCCGCGTTTGTATTAACTCCCGTCGATGGTTATTTAAAAGTAGGCAAACTGTTAGATCGAGAAAAAGTTGAAACAATTCGGTTAGCTCTCGTTGTCGAAGATATTGCCGCAGTAAATGGCAAGCAAATTGTTGAAAGTTAGTGAACTAGTTTCATTAACATACAATGTTATCATAATTAATTTTTTTAATTTGACTAATATTTTGTAATTTATTTCTTGTCTTATTAGCCATTTTAATTGTTCATGTTGATGACGAAAATGATAATGATCCGGTGTTCCGTCAAAAAGTCTATAAAAGAACTGTGATGGAAAATAGTCAACCTGGTGTACCAATTATCACTGTCATGGCAGATGATACCGATAAAAACCGAACTATGCATTATTCGATAGAAGGTTTTGAATTTATTTGTATATCAATCAATATAGATACTATTATATTTATGATTTACATTGTATAATGTTGTAGATTCATCTACAGACGCTACAGATTTGATTAGGTTAGATCCAGAGTCTGGAGAGATTGTAGTGGCTGGCCGAATTGACCATGAACAGGTACACTGGATAAATGTCAGTGTCCGTGCGTCTGACAACGGAGTTCCAGTTCGGTATTCGTTCGCTGACGTTATTTTACGCGTGATCGATGAAAACGACAACAATCCATACTTTATTGAAGACACACCAACCAACATAACAATCCCGGAAAATACTCCGATTGGTGCGAATATACTTTTTTCTTTTTCTTTTATACTTTTAGCGACATTTTGCTTTTGTTTGTACAGGGTCATCAGTCGCAGTAATCACTGCAATGGATGCAGATTCTGGAGACTTTGGTAAAATCACATATTTGTTAGATCGTATTTCATCCCAGGTAAATTTGATGAAATAAATTTAAAAAAATTAAATACATTATGTTTTATCTAAGAATGTAATTTTTAGTAATAATTATTTTTCAGGAAAAATTTACGATCGATACAAATAGCGGTGTATTGAAAGTGGCTGATTCATTAGACCGAGAACAAACGAATACCTATAATTTAATTGTTGAAGCATGGGATAATTATCAGTTCGGATACGTTTCCGGCGAAAGTCGGAACGCCTTCAAACAAATTATGTGAGCATCTATTAATCATGCGTCATATTGAATATTTCAAACAATTGGTTTAATTAATTTTGAATAAATAGGGTTACAGTTTCTGATATTAATGATAACGCTCCGTTATTTGACCGTTTGCCATCTGAATGCATTGTTGTAACAGAATTTCATACAATTGGTGATATGGTTTTACTAATAAAAGCTACCGATGCAGACGACCCGAATACAGTCAACGGTCAAATAATGTTTTCCATCGAAGATGGTAATGAAAGGGGTTAGTATATTGTATTCATAACTTAAAACATAAACGTGGGCATAAACGATAAATCATTTCATTTTTATTAAAGAGTTATTCGCTTTGGATAATGTCGATTATTGGTCTAGTCGCCTATACACAACATCGTCGTTAAGAAATCTATATGGAAATTATAGTCTTTTAATTCGAGCTCAAGACGGTGGGGATCCTCAAAAGTCAAATTTAGCCACCGTGAACGTTTGCGTTACTGATGTAAATGATAATGCTCCTCGTTTTATATCACCTCCATATAATGTTACTGTTAGGTTGCTCCAAGTAAGAATGCCGATTATAGTTTTGAATTAAATGAATATAAGTAAAATGTTTTAATTTTTTATCTTAGAATATGACCATTGGAAGCTCGGTGATTTCTGTAAAAGCTATAGATGACGACATCGGCCAAAACGCAGAAGTCAGATATCGTCTTAAACAAGATCTAATGGGTGATTGGAAGACATTTTCGGTGGACGAGATAACCGGGATGATTACATTGAAAAAATCCTTAAACAAAGAAATCCAAAAAATCTACCAGGTAACTATTAACGCTTCGTTTATTTTTTATTGTATAAATACTTATATTGTTTGTAATATTTTCATTAAATATTTTTAGATTCGTGTAGAAGCTTATGATCTTGGAGTACCAACACCACTCTCGTCTGATTTAGAACTTACTATTCATGTGAAGAGTACCAATGACTTCCAGCCTAGATTTTTAATTAATGAGATCACTGTAAATTTCACTGGTACATTTACTCACTGAAAGAAAATAATGTATTTAAAAATATTCTTATTACATGATTCTTAAAATCTTGTGTTAATTTCAGAACATCGCGAACCAGGATCCGAATATTGGCAGCTTATTGATACAGTTGATATAGAAGAGCTAAACGATTTAGAAAAATCACCGCCACCGGTTTGTTATTATGTAGTTTCTGGAAACGATGAAAATCGATTTATAGTCGAACCACTTAATCATAGAATTTCTGTAAGAAATTAAAATAAAATATAATGAATATTTGAAATGAAATACCTTCATTATTAACATAATTAATATTTTACAGGTTGCTTATGAACTTGATCGTGAAGTCAAAGAAACTTATGAACTAGTCGTGAAAGCCAGTGAAGACTGTTTACATTCTCCTCCACCTAATCAGGATTTAAATCAAGATGATGACAGTTTACTTAAAGTTTATGTTTTTGTTAATGATATAAACGACCATGCTCCAGTATTTGTGAAACGAGTATTTACTGGTGGCGTTACTACAGAAGCTGATTTCGGTGTTGAGTTTATGCAAATAAAGGTAATCATAATATTAAGATGATTTTAAGATAATTTGTTTTTTTTCTTATTTTTACGTATTTACTATAATAATATACTTGGTTGTAGGCAATTGACGTGGATAAAGGAAAAAACGCAGAATTGTCTTATTACATAATTCCTGGTTCTTTAGAAGTATCTCTTGCTGAAGGTTTGGATAGTATACAATATCCTCCCTTTTTGGTAGACATAGCAACTGGAGCAATCTATTTAAACTTTGACCCTCAAAAAGGAATGAAAGGTTATTTCGATTTCAAAGTGTTGGTTAACGACACCGGTGGGTTATATGATACAGCAAGGGTACTGATTTATTTGCTACGCGAAGACCAGAGAGTGAGATTTGTTGTGCGACAAAATCCATCGCAATTGCGAGAGAAGGTTGAAATATTCAGAGAGTGAGTCATAGCATTTTGTTGATATTACTATAGTACCTGTGAATCACGTGCGTGTTACGAACCATCTAATTAATTTTGTTTCGCCATAGAATCTTGGGCAATGTTACTGGTGCTATTGTAAATGTCGATGAGTACAAAGTTCACGAGACCCACGATGGTAGAGTCGACAAAACGAGATCAGACATGTATCTACATTTCGTCGATCACCGCGATAATTCCATCATGGAAGTTCCACACGTTTTGGGGATTATTGACGAAAACATCGAACATTTAGATTCTTTATTCAAAGTAATTCACAATTAGTTATATTATCAATAAACTGTAACTTAATTACAAAATTATACTCATGGTGTCAATTTAAACGTCGGTTTTCACCATTGCACAGGAGTTCAACGTGCTTGACACACAAGCTGCCGATCCGGAACCATTGCGTCGAGCTTCGATGAAAGAAGACAATGTGATTTGGATGTGGTTGGTCGGAACCACATTTTTCTTAGGATTACTATTGATTGTTGTCGTGTCCATATGTCTGTCGCAGCGTTCGAATTACCGTAGACAACTCAAAGCGGCCACTATTAGCGCGTTTGGTAAGCGAATATTTGATAGATTTCCGAAATGAATTCCGAATACTTATATTTTAATCTGTACTTTTCATCATCGTATAGACCCAAGAACGCCGGATCACATCAGTTCAACTGCCATCGGAGGCCGTGTACCGAACACGAATATGCATAGTGTTGCCGGATCAAATCCCATGTGGATGCAAGCGTATGAAAACGAATGGTACAAGGATAGAGAAACTTTAAGGTAAAAATTTTATAAATGTACAAAATCATCGTTCATTTAGTCATATTAAGATTTTTTTAAATATTTCTTATGAATAACAACGATCGTAGGTATTCATCGTAACAGCTACCAACTCTCATGGTTTGATCTTTGGATGTAACTATAAAATGCACTAAATAACACTCGTGTAATAAATACTAAATTCATTAAATGTTTTCTATTATCCGTTTACATTTTTATCTAACGGAACCTCGGGTATGGGTATTTCAAAGCAATATTGATACAGTCAACTGAAAAAAAATTCGGCTTATATATCTATTATTAATGTAACTACTTACTGTACGTATTTTATGTTTCACTTGTTATGGCTGATTACAGCCAAACGTCAGAACGTGATTCTTTGGACGACAATACGACTACCAGTACCACGTCTCCCCAGCCAATAGAACGCTCGACGACTACGCTGTTCATCAAAAGGTTCGTATTCATCCGCATGCTATACACCTGTATGTAACGCGACCAACAGTATTGATACATTCCTTACCTCGTACTCTTAATACGTTTTAAAATAATTGTAGTAACGATTGTAACGTACACACCGGCAGTGCCGACAATTACTACGAACGGACAAGGATCACTGTGAAAAACTTGGAAACTACGGAGTTATGACATTCAACCAGAAAGATAGCCGTGAAATCTTTTAGCGTTCCGTCAAGTTCAAAACACGGTGACTTGACCGAGGAATACAACGATTTTTTTTAACCATATTATAATAGCAAAGTGTATATTGTATAGTATGTGTGATAAGGCTGATGCTGTATCTTCTTATATATCGAATATTTTTTTAAAATAGCCTATATTATAGTACAATACAAAAAAATCTACTTAATTTTATAAGAGAATGTCGGTACAACAATTTAAATGTTTTCAGATGAACTATTGCAATTGTTTCCAAACATTTGATATCATTATTTAAAAAAAAAAATATATATAAAATTTTAGTAACCTGTCATAATTACATTTATTTATTTTATTGTGATTATAAATATATACTTTTAATTTTTTTTTTTTGCTCAACTAGATAGTTATTTTATAAATGTATTAGAATATAGGTTTACTCGCATACCAATGACAAAAATACGTTTACGCAACCTAATGATTTATTGTAATAAAATTAAAATATTTATTTTATATTCTTTAACATATTACGCCAATATTGTTTCGCTACCTAAATTATGTACTAAATGAATTGTTGTACCCAAGTCGAAAATATGTACGTTTAGTTTTTGATATTTGACACGCTGGCATTCTGGTAGATTGTATAGAAATTGCCAATTGAATTACTTTTAAGTTATTATTAGCTTTATATAAATTTCGATTTTATCATTATTAATGTGATCGTAACAAAATTATTCGAAACCATAAGCACAGGAATATTTCATTAACTATAATAATTATAACAATTATTGTTCGGTAATCATCTACATTTGTAGCATATTGACGCCAGAAAATAACTATAGCTAATTATTATAATATATCTATTTGTAATATGAAATAAACAATTACGTATATTAACTAAACGTCATGAACTATATTAATGTTTTTGTTGGAATAATTTTTTCTTGCAAATCGATGAGCAGGTACAGAGGTTACGTAACTATTCACGCTTAATTTGTTCGTAGGTTAGGTATATTTTATAATATTATATGTGTTAATGTTAAAATTATTTTACATATAATATTATTTTTGTATAGTTGTATATTTACTATTAACTATTAATTTATTATTTTGATTATTATTTATCCCTTGTGTACAATGTATATTATACTTTACGAATCAAAATTAAAAAAAAACATAACAATTATATATATAGATATAATAATTGTATGTTAATATACTTGCGTTTTAAACCATGTAATATATTTTTATTTTTCATACTAATTTACTAAAATAAAATCAAAAGCTAATTGTTCTGGATTGTCGAAATCCACAATATTAGCATAACACATCAAACGTATTGTTTTCAATCAAAATGTGTTTTAACTATGGTTATTACGAGGACATTGTGCTCTCGCATAAGGTCACATCATATGCTAATCATATAATTATATCTGATTTTCAAATGACTCTTATTTCCTCTGTGTACTTTGGTCAAATATTCAATTTATATATATGTCCTGTGTTTGTGTGTATGTGTATTATAATATAATACAACATTATAGAGTAAATATATTATATTACTCTATGATGTTGTAGTGCACAGCCCTGCTGTGCCACTGCTGTGAACAACATTTCTTTTACGACGGTGCAGCTTCGTTGTTTTTGACGTATGTTTAAAAGGAAAGGGTATTATAAATAATAAAACACAATACTTTGAATTAAGTAAAAATTATATAAAGATATGATTAAATTTGTTTTATCAATTAAAAGCATGGATATGACGACAGTAAAACCAGGGGCATCATTTCAACTTTTGAAAGGGTAGGGCAACTAATTAAATTTTCCGACTTCATAATATTTAAAAAAATATGGTTACCAATATATTTAAAAATTTAATATTTATGGACGATAGACTATCAATAAAATATTTTTTCGGAACAAAACATGTAAGGATTAGTAGTGAATAATGATGTCACGATGATAAACAAAGAACATGAAACGTTTCAATTTACCCAATTAAATAATAACATTCAAGATAGTAAAATATTAATTTATTTACTTATTCTATAGGCTATGAATTACTTTTTTTTTGTTTTGTTGGGGAAATTACAACAATATAATGTTCTATTTACCGTTATGGACAATTAAAACGTTATGAAAAATTTAGTGTCTTGCGTTATTTAAATAAGTGTAAAATTTGAAACGTTTTCAAGTGTAGTATTTTGGTATTTTGATTATTTATATGTTGAGTATCCTTTCAACGAGACGCTATAAAAGGTTGTACTATTTTTCTGCGATAAAAAAAAAAAATCAGTGTTTTAGCTCGAAGTCTAGCCATTTCTTTCAGATTTTAAATATGTATCCATAAACCTTTTATGCTCTTTTTCAGAAACAATATATTTGCAAAGATTATACCATTCAACGATGTCATTTTTAAAGAAACCTAAAGATCAACCAACATGTTTTTTGGACTGCTACCGCAGATTATAAGGATGATACTTTTAATATATATTCTAATATTTTTCTTTCGGTTTCTGAGCAGCAAATTCCTAAATACAGCTTAGAATTTACCAGTAGTAGTGACACATCCGAACTTGAAGTATTATGAAATAAAAATGTAGTAATCAAGTGTTTATGGATGTAATATACAAAATGTAGTAACTTGTGTAACTAATAGGGCTAAAACAATTTATAATTAACTTCATGCATATTAGACAATGGCTGATAATAAAACAACAGACTATAGTACTGTAGTTGATATAAATAAAGTAATTTAAATGTTTTGCAAATAAATGTTATTATTTATCAATAATTACCTATACCTTACGTGTGACATCGGTCAAATTGGTCGTTAACCATGAAATTATGTAAAAGCATTTAAGCAATGAATTATTCGATATTGATATTACTTCATTGGTATGTGACACGTATCAACGTTAATATACAAAACTGTTTTTTTTTTTTAAATATAATTTATTGGATTGTAATTGTCTCAACATTTTTTATTTTTATGATTAAATTAAGTTATAACAGTAAATTACAAAAAGTTTACCTATTAAACTTAAATCTTAAAGTTTTGTTTAAATTATACATTAAATTTAATTTGAATTATTTACTGATAAATGTATGGCCATAGAATTTTTATGAGAAAAATTAATTTTTATTAAGATATACTAATATCATTTTTTATTATTATATAATAGGTATACTTTATTAATCGATACATTTAATAATAGGAATATATAAGAAATAAACTTGAAATAGAAACATTTAAGTTTTCATAGTTTAAATTCACTTTTATCACAGTAAATACATTTTATATAATTCTTCTTGTTTTGGATCCTTAAAATGCGGAACAAAATTTATTTTAACTATTTCATCAACACCTTCTTCCATAGAGGGCTCTTCAAATTTAGAACTGTAACAAAAAAATTCATATTATTGTCATATGCATAATACAATTGAAAATATAATGCTTAGTTAATAAATACTAGATCAAAATATATATTATAATATAATTATTAATTATCATTTGAATTAATTGAAAAATAATATAAATTATAAATTACAATAAACAATTTTACAGAGAAGAAGCAAAATAGGAACATATTAAAATAAGCATATCATATTGTGAATTCTACTTTTTAATTCTAAATGTACAAAAAATAAATGAAGGATGGAAACATTTTCATATAGTTATCTGTCTCCTACAGTGATCCAGTACAGAGAAAAAACTATGTTTAAAAATTAAAACTCAATAAACCATGTTAAAGTTTAATTTTATTTAATATTATTCTTATTAACTTCATTGTAATACAAAAGTGGTTTTTAACCTTTTGCAGATCCTAGACTCCTGATGAAAGATTTTTATAAATTGCGGACCCCTAACCAATTTCTTTTTGTATACATTTTTTTTACAAAACATTTCATGTTATTAAAACCAAAATTCTGATCATTATTTTATACAATAAATTAGGTATATTAGTAGACATAACAAAACATACATATTTATAATTATTTTTATCATACTTAATTTTTCATTTATTTAGGTTTCAGTTAATTTAAATTTAATTATTTTAGTTTTCATTTTTTTTTTTTTTTTTTTTTTTAATATTTTTAAATTTAATTTATATAGACTTAGTGCGATGGTTGGTATTACACTTGAGACACAAGTTTTTGAACATTGCATAAAGATAAGATCTATTTATTATATAATAAAAATGTATGAAAAAAAAAATAACAATCCAAAAATATTTTAATAATGCACTCATCATGATGTATGTTATGTGTTAAGGATGCCTCGTACTCCTGACATGAGTATCATGGACCCCAAGTTAAAAACCGTTGTAATAAATCATTAGATTATTTAGTATATTTCTACTTTATCTAACCTTAAATTTTAGAATTTTTTTTTTTTGATTTTATATATTTTTCAACGCTGAATACGATAGTGCAAATTAAAATTTGGCGCTGATCATTAGTTTTCTTGTTATAGTAATTTAAAGTCGGCAGTTTTGTTAAAATGACCCATATTAGTTAATAATTTAAATCTCTACCGTGGAGCAATAGATAATATAGTTCTTTTGTTATCAGTTCCTCTGTATTTGTATACAGAGACACTACGTACAAATCAATATTATGGAGTGATACATTTTTTGCAATTTTTTTTTTACATTCAAATCTGTATGATAATATAATATTACGTGTATTATTATATTTGTCGCATTTTACTTTTTAACCTGTGACCTAATTGGGGTGGTGTTGCATAGCAAATGGGGGGATATTTTCTTTTTTAACTGTCTGAGTGAGTGACCCTACTCGGTCTCAAGATGCACTTAAAACTAATTTGTTTTTTACCCTGTGATCTACTTGAAGTGGTGTTAAAATATAATAATATTTAATATAATAAAATAAAATATTAAGGTTTTTCAGCTTTGAAATTATTGTTCTAAGAAAGAAAAAAATGCAAATAATTTTTTTACCTGTTTGGGGATTGAACTTAAGGTTATGCAGATAAATAATTGATGTTGCTACCACTGCTCAACAATTTCAGACATTTGCCTTGATGTATAATGAGTATTTTAGGGTTTTAAAATAAAATTATAAACTTTAATTAACTATAACTTCAAAATTTAGTTCTTGTGCCAAATTTTAATTTCACCATAATTTTTGTCACTCAAAATATGACTTAGTCTGCCAAAAAATGTCCAAAATTTAGGGTGCCCATAAACTAGAAATGTTTCCACTATTTTGTTATGAAATAAATTATAAGCAAATTAATCTATTTCCATATGTACCTAGACATTTTTAATTTTGTACTTTAATAAAAATGTATCAATTTAATATAATTTTTAATTAGAAAAGTAAAATCAGTCCACACTAATTGACACAAAAAATAAAATGTAATTTTTATTATATTATTAATTGCATACATTAAATGTTACAAAATAGTATTTTCATAATCATAACTGTTATTTTTTATATTCAAATGTTAGGAACTATAACAAACATTGAATCACTTTATCGTTAGTATTCACTGAAAAAATTATCATAATATTAACAAAGTGTTTTCCTAATCATCTTTGTTACTTAAATGATTGCATTACAAACTAAATCATTTTAAATTATAATTTTTTCGTACTTATTTTATAGTCTAATACTTACAAGTATACATTTATTACGATACTTGATATTCTTTGATGTTTTTTGTCAGTTATTTCTCGAAACTATAAACAAAATAAATAAAATTCATTAATAATAATTTACTAAGAAACTCATTTATCAATAAAATATTAAAATATAATTTATTCCAGAGAAAAATGTATGATGCAAATATCAAACAAATTTATTCAAAGTATAAATACTAATTAAATAACATAATTAATGGTTTGTAATAAGATATTATTTATTATGTAATTTTTCCACTATCATTTGCTTAACTTCTATGGTATTTATTTAATTTAAACCAAGCTATTTATAAGCTTCCGTTAACATTTTGCCAAGTAAATTGATTCTTTGATCAGCTAATAATATGCTGAATATCATAAATACATGCGAAATATATAAGAAAATACTTTCACAGTATAAATAAAATTATAGTAAATTTCAATTAAAAATTCAGCATTCACATAATTAAAAGTCATTAAAAGTTAATAAAAAACACCTACATTTAATACAGTAAAAATGTTAAGTAAATTGTTTTATTATATAAAGTTTAAAACATTTAATTTACTTACTTTATTATTGTGTATTGCGTGTTTTTTAGAGACATTCATTTGAAATATTCTACAAGGGATGTTAAAACTCTTTGCTATATCTATAAAACGTTTTCTCGATTCTTTATCAGGATTAGTATTATCAATAACAACACAACAAGAAAAATGACTCAAAAATTTTTTAACTTCGCTAACACACTTTTGCCATGAACCTAATTTGTCTCTGCTAAATATTTTTATGTCATGACATCCTAATACATTTGATGCAAAATAACTTTTTCCTGAACCAGGTGAACCAACCATTATAATCATCTAAAAAATAGTATTAATTATTACAAAAATATGAATAATTGATCATGAATTTTAACCTTACTTCTTTACACGAAGATAACAATTTTGAATTTGAATCAGTGTATTTGATGTTGGATAATACATCAATTGGATTAAATGATGGTAATTTAAATTCTTCTGTAGGTATTTTCCAGAAATATTCTTCAGGAGTATAAAATTTAAGACCAACATTAATAGCAAATAAGCGGTCACAACAGGAGTGATCTTTTTTAATTTGTTGACTATTACTATCAATACGATCAGGTCGGCCTGCCGCATCACCACAAAAGAAACTTGAATTCATATCGACCGACAAATCTCCATTGTACTGAAATTTAACAGAATAAATGATTTATTTAATTGGTAAATAAAAAATTACTTACATCCGAGACAAAGGTATTCCACATTCCAGGAGCAGGTTTTCTATATATATCACCTTGTGTAGCCACAAATACTTGAATAGGGATTTTAATCACATTAATGATATTTTCAACTTTCTCTTTAAATGAATTTTCGTTTACTTTTTTACTTCCAATACCTCCTTGATTAGTGAATATTACAATTTTGTAACCGTCATTTGACAACATCCTAAGAGTTTTAGTAACTTCAGGGCAACTAATTTTCCAATCTTTGTAATCAACTGGGAAAACTTTACCAGACTGAGTAACAATAATTGTTCCATCCATGTCAAAAGCAGCTATCTAAGGATATAAGAAAATATTTAAATAAAAATTTAGTTACTATTATGATAAATCTACCTTGTTTTTATGAACAAGATTTGAACTATTATACACCAATAAAGTACCATCTTTAGTTTCCCACTTCGCTGCAATATTAGACCGAAATTTTTTTGCTACAATGTATTGATCCGGAGAATTAGTCAGTCTTTTATTAGATTCTAAACCATAGCTTTTGAACATAGCATTTGGTACAAAATTTAGATTAAATATATAATTACTGTTGAACAGTAATGAAACTTTATCACCATGATACAAAAGTCGTTTTTCTCCTTTGATCATAGATTCATTATTGACGGCAGACTGATTGGAACCCAATTGTTCAACTAACACTCGGTTTTTAGAATAGTCTGCTTCAAATTTTACTGTAAACATAAATAAATTAATCATAAATGTATAAGTTAAATAATAAGAAAAAGTATAATTAAGTATAACAATATAAATATAAATTTATTTATATAAACATCATTGGTATAAAGTTTCCTAATTATTACTAATTCTAGCACAAAAACATATTTTACTTCCTGGATTAGATTTTTTGATAAAAATATTCAAAAATATAATAATTAAAATATGTTTTATATGTACAAATATTAAGTTTGTATTCATTCAAATATTTTACTAAAATTATGCCAAAACTATAAAGCTCACCATAAACACTTAAAATATTTAATTTAATTTTGAAAAATAATAATATAATTTGAATTACCCCCCCACCAAAGTTTCGGTTTAGTCCAACTGAAATTTCACAGAGAAATTGAGAATTATATGACTTTGATAGGAGTCACATTTTAAAGATATCATTAATATAATGTACAAACTCATCACTTCAGAAAACATAATATAAATATTATAATACATTGATTATATATATATATATATATATGTTTATATAAAAAAATATATATAATATAATACATTGTACCCATATATTATTTTTAATGTATGGTGATTTTAAAATACGTAAGAAAAAACCCACAAAATTATTATTCACAAATTACTGTTAAATAAGTATAGATACTAGTGACTTAGCTTTCATAGAGCAATGTGAGACAGTGCTAAGAGGCCCTAGAGCACATGAGGCCTTGGAGATTACTGAGAATATACTTCCTTAAAATAAATTAAAGTAAATTCCCAAATCATATGTGGTGATCCTAGTTACTATCAGTATTAAAGTAGAATAATAATTCACGTAATATGCAATACGTTTTTTATATTAATAATTTAGAAATTCTTTTTATTTTATACTATTCTGTTAATTATTTTCATTTATTGTTTTATAAGTATTCACATTTAAAAAAACAATATAATGTGTGTGGGTACTTTAAATTTTCATATAAAAATATTAGTTAAGGACCCTTTCATGCGTAGCTATGTCATTCAAAGGTACTTTTTTTTTTTAAACCGGCTATACACCTGCCACATGGGATCATTTTCCACCTTTAGTGGCGGGTATGGTACAGAAACTTTACCTTGGCTTTTCGACAATTTCAGATCAGTGATTCCAGTCAATTTTGTTCTACCCAAAACAAAAGGCACCTTGTCCAGCAGTATGAACTTTAATTCCGGATTGCTTTCAGAGACTAGAAAACAAATTTTTGTCTCGTTGCCGCTAGTCGGCGTAATTCCGGACATTGCGTTCGTTTATTAGAACGTTTGGAGACAAACCAGTGACGGCGAGACCTCTAGATATTCAAGCGCTGTTCACTTTGTCTGGTATTAATTTACATTATCATCCACGTAAGCAAGGTTCGTCGAGTCGAACAGTAATAAACAAAAATGATCAAGGCTACGTAACCGGTGCAACGAAATGAATCGGAAAATGAAAAACTGACGTTAACAGACGACGACGTGGGTCATACTGAGTGCCCGGACAATCACACCACGGTGATACGTTTATCAGTATTTGTACAGTATTCTGTGGTTATCGTTTATCACGGTTGCAGCAACGGACTAAGATATATATATATATATATATCTTAGTCCGTGGGCCTAACAAAGTGCAGAGATGATAATATTAGAGAATGATAACAAGTTCTAGTATTCTGAATGAATTTAGATGTTAAAAAGTAAGTCAACTGTTTATGCATCAAATTTCACACTGCCCACCAACACACAACGATAGTGTTTCTTTAAGTAAAATGTACTTCACACAAACTATTACGTAAAAATATTGAAAATCACTTATTCTTAGTGTTCTATTAATTTTTTCTAACGTGTGTCATTTTATACAAAACCAGCAAGTGAGTATCTATGTTTTTGTTTTTTATACATACCTTATAAATTGAAATACGTTTATTTTTTTGTTTGCATATAAGTATGTCACTTGTAGCTTACTTAGATAGTGATTGTGAATCAGACGAAGACAACAAAGATATTTCTGAAGTAGAAAAGCCACCATCACCAAATAATGTCCAAGAAGATATTAAACCAATGGGCATTAGACCTTTATTAAGGCTACCTCAACCTAAATCAATCAAATCGACCAAAACACCAGACAATTTCGATTTAGAAGAAGAAAAACTAGTGTTAACATCAAAAAAACCTACGATCAATTGTGTTCTAGAAAAAAAAGAAGAATGTCCATTATTCCCCACATTGCCCAAACCTAAAGTTGGAGGAAAAGTTAAAATCTTACTCCCTTCATTAAATGAAGTAAATAATCACATTTAAAAATAATAAAGTTACTAACTAATTTTAATTATTTTAGTTTTATGATGAAGACGATGATTATCAACCTAAACGAAAAATTATTAAACCATCTAATGTAAGTTTCAACAATTTATTTATCTATGGTGAAATCCAATTTATTGTAACCTTGTATTAGTCACACTTTAATAAATCAATTTAATAAATCTCAAGATGACTGCATAAATCTATTCAAAGTTTAAAACAAAAATATTTATTATGTGATCGTATTATTTATAAATAATATAGACGTAACACCTTATAACAAAACACATAAGACATAATAATAGAGCACATACTTATAAATCACAATAATACACTTATTAAAATCATACATACATTAATTTAAATGAAAACAATAAAATTAGCTTATATATTTTTTATGTACAGTGGAATATCGATTATCCACCTTAATTGGGACCAAAAGGGGTGAAAACCATCAATTTGTGTGGATAATTAAATAACCATTAAAAATTTAAAAATGAAGTCAAAACCTAATTTACTAGATATAATACTAAATGCAATATTTATACCTAATATAAAAAAATTTATTAAAAAAAAAATAAATTAAAAATATAATGCATTTTATAATATGTACATGATAAAGAAAACGCAATGAATGATAAAACTTAATTAAATTTACTAAAAATAAATTTTTACACAACATTTTTTTAGATAATCTACATTTCATTGTATACATTATAATAAATAATATTAAATTGTATAATTAATTGTTTAATTTAAAATGATTAAGGAAAATTCACTGATATACTGTTATACTTTTGTAATTTTATATTTGAGTAACCATTTAAATTATTAGAAGGCAATAGAATCAGATCATATTGTATTTATAAAAAATAAAAATGAACAAATTTATAGTTCCCATAATTTTTAACTTATTATATCACAGAATACATAAATATATATATATTAATATAAATTATATTCATTGTTAATTTATTTATATGTTACAAATAATCTTGTAGTTTTAACATTAGTTTATTTATTTAAGTATTGATTTTCAGAGTGGATGTGGTTTGTTTTCAATGTTACCTGATCCAAAAAATAAAAAAACCAGCAAGGTTTCAACGACTATTACTATGGTTCCCAGAGCAACTATGCGTAAAATACCACCTGTGGTTAAAGAAATTCCTAAATCTCAAAAATTAGAGATTAAGGATTTTAAATCTAAGTCTACTGAATTAGAAGAAGATGAAGTAGATGATGATGATCATGAAGATGTTGATTTCTTAGGATTAAATAAAATAGGTGAAATGCCTGATGTAGCTCCTATTTCTGGATTTGACTTACCTGAAATAAAAACTAATACAATAGTTGTGGAAGATGATAGAGTTTACGGACCAGTATACTGTCCAGAAGATGGCAAATCTGACATATATGAAGATGATGAAACAAAGATGACTCTCGATTCAAATGCGGTTGGTTTTTATAATCTATTTATATTTAAGACTTATAACAACATATTAATTTTATGTTATAAATGTATTTTTCAATTATTACAGTTGAAACAACTTGGTGATCGCGATAAAACTTGTATTAAACAAGTTGAAGTAATAAATGTTAACATGAGTCAAGTGTTGGAAGAATCACAGCAGTGGCTACAAAAGAACCTCACTGAAGAGTACGCAGAGAGTAAAAATGTTGGTAGTGACATCAATGTAACAGGACAATCAAAACGCAAACACCAGATTACATATTTGGCTCAACAAGTAATTAAAAATAATAAAATTATTGAGTTCTAAAATAGGAATATTAATTATAACTCTTACATTTGTGCAGGCCAAAGCTAATGAGCTAAAACTTAAAAATATGTGGGCTGAAAATCGAATGACCAGGAAACAGACGCAGGCAAAATATGGATTTTAATTATCTATTAGGTTTGTTATTCGTGGACAATTTTTATGATTAGGTTTCTGATAATACTCATTTGTACATAAACAACTTATTAAGCTAATGTAGACTATGTATCTTTAATAAAGGCACTTTTTGATTTTTATCTTATGTATACATGTATATATTTAAATTTACAATTTTTTATTATACAATCAGTCTCTAGAGAAGCAACAAAAACAAATAATTTAAGAAACTTTCATTAAATAAACATAAAATAAATTCAAAAGTCTTGTTCTGAATTTTATTGTATGATTAAATTTTTTGGATAGTTAAAAAGAAATTATATTTAATTAATATAAATTATATTACAGAAATTTAAACCAATAAGTAGATCAATAAATAAAATCAATCTAAAATGAAAATAAATATACTTTCATATATTATATTTAACTCCTTATAGTATGTATTATATTTAATCATTTACAGGTATAACAATTTAATTTTGTAATAGTTTAAGTATAATTTAAGTATAATTAAATATTTTTTTAATATTTCAAATAGTATTTATTATATGTAACTTATTTTTTAAACAATCTTATTTATAATTTATATTATAAAATTAATCAAAAAAATTAAAGTATAATAATAAAATAAGACAAAATGTATCCAATTTACTAAGGAAACAATTATTAATTGGAAAGAGATCATTAAGTCTATAATAGATCATTGAGTACTTTTGAATTAAAATATATTATATAGTAAAAATATTATACCTAAATTATAATTTTAAAATTTTCTGATAATTTTATACATCAAATATGTGTAAATTATTATATATTTAAAAAGAATATATATATATATATATATACAATTAAAATTATCTTATCAAAGACTCAATTGTTTAATGAATGGTAAAATTAATGTATAATTTAAATGTTACTATTATTATAATTAGTACTTAATTATGTACAATGTATGTATCAAATTTGCTGGTGATCTTATACTAATATTCATTGGTTTTAATGTTAAAAATACAATTTTTCAGTAAAATATGCACATGACAACATATTTTAGTTAAATATGATTACAAAATTTATATTGATTGCAGTTATGAAATTATTTGTTTTGGTTCTCATTTAAGATTTCATAAAAGGAATGGGTTGAGTTTGTATTAAAAGTAATTATTTTATGACCTTAAAATAATTATTACCATAATTTAATAAGGTTGATTAAATTATTGTAATGTGCAAAGGGAATTGAATGTTAAAAACTTGAGGAATGCCTTATGAATAAATTATTTGCAGTTTATATAAAATCTATTTATGATAAAATGCAAAAAATTTAAGGCCGGAACCGATTAAAAAAATTAAAAAACACAAGACATTAGTTTTATGTATTTAAATTATAACAATGGGAATTTGACTAGCATTAATAAAAGAACAAAAAAATATTGATCGATTACTAATTTCATAATTTGAACAAGTGCCTGCTCGGTATAAATAATGAATCAATATTATTTCCTCAAAAAGTATTCTCCCATTAACGTCATGACAATTGCTCCGACTGGTGCAGTGATCAATATTGCCAACACGCTGATTGCTAATACATCTGATGCATACGATACTAATTGAGGGTTGTAGGTTCGTGCCATATCTAATGCAATCGGTCCGATAGCCGCCTTTTAGAAATGGAAAAAAACAAAAAAAAAAAAAAAAAACCATGCAATTACTTGATGTTTGTGTAGAAAATTAAATAATACACCATTAGTAAGAAGTAAGTAAGCTATCATTAAAATTTGATAGTAATTAATTTATATGTATTTTGCATCTGTTCCGCTATAATAATATAATAAATTTCAATTTACAATCCTTTTCTTACCAAAACTCCCCCTCCCTACCTTAGGTTTTGTTGGTGATGAATTAATGCTTAAATACATAATATATTGTTATTTTTTCTCATCAACGATGACCCGTAATCGTATAAATGTAGGTTTAATCCCGGTACAATTTCCGGAATGTAAGCTTACTTGTACTGTTGCTTTTGGCAACCACGCCACGTTAACAAATATTTTCTCTCGTAAATTATAATTAGTATCCTTTAGCACGAAGAAACATGTGAGCACTCTTACCTGGAAAAAATAAAATATCAATATTATTGTCAAAATATCTCGCATATTAAAAAAAAAAAAAAATAGGCGAAACTCATAGGTAGGACAAAACACAGGAACGGGTTTATATAAAGATGGATGCTATAATAGTAGAACCAAATTTTTTAATAAAGTAGATTGACATATTAATGTACTAACTTTTGCAAAAATATTGATATCTATGATCTACAATTTTAAAAAAAAAAAATTTGTATGTATTTCCTTTTGAAAGCTTAAGTATTAAAGTATGAATTTTTATCTTAAATTGAAATACTTATGAATTTTTAACTAAACATTTTCGTAATTTTTGTCGAGTATTATCCACATTTAAATGAACCGACGATTGTAGAAACGTTACGAGTTATATATTTTATGAAATTGAGATACATATTAGTAAAATTGTATAGTCGTGTGTTTCAATACGTTGAGTGTAAAAACACTAATTATTATAATTTATTTATCTAATAAATAAGTGTAACCAAAGGTGTTTTTATTCTTAACGAATAGAAGCACATGGTTACCTAGTATACATTCTTACTAATATCTCAATATCATAAAATATGTTAATCATGATGTTTCTTCAATCATTGTTTCAAAAATTTAATTGCTCAAAATATATTTTTTAATAATTTTAAATTTATTTTCTTTAATCATTGTAATAAATTTTACAGATTTTTTGCTAAACCCCAGAATGATTTAATCGAAATTTTATTAAGAAAATATGAAATTTCCAAAATATTTGAAATTAAAGAAAAATATTTTGATTATTATGCTATCGACATATAGCAAAAGATGGTATGAGTATTCAATGTTAAATTCAAATATCTGCAGTTATTGTTTTTTAAGTAATGATGAACAAATGATATCGATTTTATCGAAAACCGGTGTAGCTTAAATTGTAGGTACCAGTGTTTTTACTTTTCGTCAATTTGCAATTATTAAGAATGCTATTGGAAATTTCGTAAAATTAATTTGTTTAACTATTAACTATGTAACGTTTCCTATCAAAAACTTCCCCGATTATGATGATCGGAGCTATTCTTCCGGGTCGAAATTGTTTTTATTTTCAAAGTGTAAAACTAATAACTACGTCGCTTTTCTTAAAATCTAAATATTTTGTTTAGGTCAAGCAACTTATATGAGCTAATCTATTTTTTTTTTTTTTTTTTAGTACACCGATAGATCGGACTTCAAGAGAACAACATTGTATTCTCATTGCCGCCCTTTGACGAACACATGTGCATGCAATCGCCGTAGATTAAAACATTTTCGGTTGCTCACCAACGACGTTATAGTCAGCAGAATGAACCCCGAGAAGAGTAATTTTGGTTCAATACTGAATAAATCGATTTCTGATCCGATCGACGCGAACAATAGAGGTTCCAAGAAATCCCACAGGTTGTTGGACATTATTTCGACGTTTTCCTGAGAAAAATAAAAAGGATTGTTAGGTTTTATCGCACACGATATACATCGAGAGAAATTCTATAGACATTGTTAATGTTATTGAATGACGATATACAGTCCGGCTCACTATCACATACATTTTAAAATATTATTTCATATATTTTTACGACCAATTCGTGAGCTTAGGTGCATTATGTATTTTGAAACGATTTGGTTTTTTTTTTTTTTTTTAAAAATGTCTCTTGCAATAGATAATGGCGCCGACGCAATCTAATGATGACATTGTAGTTATCAAGTCAAAGTAAAAATAATAATGTGATGTTTCTCGTTCAAGTAATATACACTTTTTAATCATTAAAAACAATTTTTAACTGACTATTTTATCTATATTTTTCAATATTGGTCAACATTTTATAACGATCGGTATAACGAGAGTTTATGAGGACTTTTATATGAAAAACTATAATATTATACCTAAAATATTAGGATATTACATGATATTATAAACTACACGAGGTATTAATTTTTTTTGTTAATCGTTTAAAATCCCCAAAAACCGCAACATTGCTCAGAAATAATCATAAAAAAGATCAAACGCAAGGAATGTCTGAAATTGAGTAAGGTTTTAATTTCAAGTACGAATGTTTGTATCTAATGCATAACGTGTTTATCTGATCGCTATCTGTTATAATATGTTTTGCTAAATGCATATGAAATAAACGTGCGAATGCTACGAGTAATGATTATCGAATCACACGTGACCTGTGCGCAGGATTTGACACTTTTATATTACAATCAGTGTTGGGACTATCTAAATAATATTATATGAAAAATAATCTAGATAACGTGAAAATTATATTTATCTTTTATCGAGATAAAGCTAGAATATCTTACCTTATACTTACCTTTTTGCGATATTTTGGCCGATAGATAATATATATTAAATTAAGTAAACTGGTGGTTTATTTTTTTAATTATAATTTATTTTTAGGTTTTGTTAAAATATTATTTCATTATTTTAGTTGCCAACTCTTGTTTACATTAAATGCATAATCGTGTTGATCATAGAATAGTAATTGAAATTATGTGAACTGTGACAAAGTAATAATAGCAATAATTTAATTAAAATAAATATTATTCACAGTTAATAATAATCAATTTTCTTCAATTAACTATTGGAAAACTCACTAAAATTAAGCAGAAAATGAAATTCGTTGAATCAGACGATTGGATTTTGTTGACCGGCACATGGTATATGTGTAAATTATTTCCAACTATGTATAGTGTTAAGTAACAAAGTGTAAACTATTGTGTGCTTGTTCTTATTTCTTTATTACAATTATTTCAAAGGAAAAAAAAAGTATTAGGTGTAACAATTAGACGCATTAACTTATAAGATTTTTATAAGACCTATTCACTTGTAAGAAAATAAAAATATTCTATCAAATCTTAAGGCATAAATTGATTATAGAAAAAATAGCTACTTATTACATTTTTAATGTTACTTTTAATAATTATATTTTATCTTTTTATATCATCTAGATAAATGAAAGTTTATCTTTTATCTTAGATAAACATTCGACTGTTATCTTTATCTTAAATCTGGATCAAATTATTGGTTATCTTTTCCAAAATTTATTATAACATAGTACTACCATATACAACCAAACGAGTTGTTCTAAAGATCTCTTTTTTTTCATTTTATGTTTTTATGTAACTCACGCTAAAAGAGTTGGTTTTCTTCCAAAAAATTGCCGCGACAAATGCAGCCGTCATTATTGCCAGAGGGCCGGCTCCTGGGTATTCGATCATTTTTGATCCGAATGTGAGTAGCACTCCGCTGACGGTCAACAAATACATTCGTTTCACGGTCAAGTTTTGCTGCAAAATTACAAAGTCAAAAGGGGAATGGCTGGGTCAGGCGTGTTCAAAAACGTTGTCGTTATTATGATATGTGTATAATATACACTATATATGATGCAGTCGTACTTCGCATTTGTGTGGAACGAATCCGACCGCTACGCCCAAAATCAATCCAATACCGATTCCAATGGCTATTTCCATAGGCCCTTGCATGGCGTTCGTCTCCCAACTGCCTGGACAAAAACAAAAGAAACCCGATTGTTCGTCATTCCGTTTATAATTGGCATCCGTGTAGTAATTTTAATTATTTTACCTTGAGAAAATATAATACTGAGACACACTCCAAAAGCGGAAATGCAAAATATATCATCGAAACTGCACGCGGCCATCACTAGCGTTATGATCCCTTTGTCCTCGCCCAGACCCCTTTGTTTGAAATCCAACAGTGCCGGGAGGATGACTGCTGAACTGACCGGACTCAAAATGCACCTGTGTAGGCCACGAACGAAGCACATGTTTTTTAGAGATTGTAATATTATTATTATCATCATTATCAGGGCTTATTTTAAGATTTTTTTAGAAGTGCGCAAAACTTTTTCTTTATACTCTTAAAAATATTACTCCCTGTGTATGATTATAAACCCCGCTACGGCCGTGCAATAACATTGTGATAATAAAATAATATTAATCATAATAATAATTATAACACAGTCTTAATAAGCCTAATCTAATGATTGACGGATCCTCTACCAGCACTCGGTCATGGAGTTGATAACTACAATTTATTATTGTGAGAAATTTTATTTATAGATAATATTTACAACTGCGCATTTTTCATTTAGAGTTATGCAAAATGTGTTCGAACGCATGTTAAAATAAGCCCTGATCATTATTATGTGTGTATATTTACCCGAGTAAGATTCCCCAGATCCACGGCAATCCAAACAGGTAATGTGTGACAACGGCCGCGGCCACTGTTTCCGTGATGCAAGGCAATATGGCTAGCTGGAACACGACGAAACGAAGTTTCCGCAACATGGATGCGTCCAGGCTGAGGCCGGAAGCGATCAGCAGCACGGCCAACGCCACTTCCCTACGAACATCGCCATCACGTGTTAGAATATAATACAGGGATTTGACATGGGACAAAGGGACTTATTGAAATACGTGTCGGAATAATATTTCGGAACGCGTTCCATTAATTCGGGTTTTGAATTCAACCCGGATACTATCCGTTACACAAAGTAACTTGAAAAATAATTTTTGGGATGAGTCAGGTAGTAAGAATATGTCCGGAAATTTCCGGTCCCAGGTTTTATGTTCGAAAACAGTTTTCCTGTTATCCTACAATATTCAAATCATTTTTCACCCCTAAGGCTTTGATAATTTACTTAAGTCAACGCGCATAAAGTATTCGTTAATCAATATTACTATTAAAAATGTGTCGATAAAGATTCGAGATTAAAATAAAAATTTGTTTTTCCGATATTTTCAAGTGGTGAACAACCATGATTGAAACCATATAGGTGGATTGCGGTCTTGATTATAACTGCGCACCATGAACGACATGAATATTGCTCAGTTTTTTAGGACTCAGTATACCGATTCCGGTGGATACAAGATTTAATTTAGGGCGAGGGGGTATAGTCCAAGATTTAGTGATAACTTTGGGGAGTTATTTCCTTATTCATAGTTATAATACTTGTGCAATTTAAATTTTGGCGCGCAGGTATGCTACGAGGTGGTCGGCGTTTAAACACTGCGAAGTGAACATAAGCCATAAGCATAGGCGCAACTAGGATCCTATTTTCGGGGGCTAATTTATTTATATTTTTTTTCGTATCGTTTCGATAAATCACTCTTAATTTTCAATTCGCATCCGTACCTATGGCGCGGAGAGTAGATAAATATTTGGAGGGGGGTTAATCGCACCTAGAACCCACCTAATCGCACCCATGGCCGTAGGCGTTTACGTACGCGGTAAAGTCTAAAAAGTATATGTATCGTCTAGTCGGACCTGAGGTTGATGATGTACGGCTGGAAGCGGTTGCTGTGCACGTCCACGGTATAGTGGCCCGTGTTCCGGAGTACCAGGCCGGCCAACAGCATGCCCAGCAACGGTGGCAGGTAGAGCATGTCGGCCACCTTGCCGCACGCCCACGACAGCGCGACCAGCAACACGACCGAGGACAGCTCCGAGCCGGGCGACACTTCGAAGAACATGAACATGGCCGAGCACGTTAGCGTCACGCACACGATGGACGTGAACAGGTTGAACACGGGATGGATTTTGCATGCCCACGACGTCGACCGGCCGCTGAAACAATGTGCGCAGCGAAACGCGGAGTCATTATCACGTGTGGGATAGGCACTTTTGGTGCTGGCACCACACCGGTGTTCGCACTCGTCTAGACGCGGTTTATTTTCTTGGTGTATTCCATCTCGCCTAGACCATTGCCGTATTTCCCAGTAAACAGTATAAGCTAGTGCTTAGGGCGGCAATTTCTCAAGGGCGCAAATAATTTTTAATATTACATTTTCATTATATGTAACTAGAACTAAAATAAATGCAACTAATTACAAAATGTTTTATTTTATGAAAACCGATTGGGCACTAACTATTTAATTTTGAATATAATTTAAAAATAAAATATTTAAGCATTTTTTACTACCATATTTTTTATCTTATATTTTATATCATATTTTTATAATTAAGATTTTTGTATAAATATGTATGTATGTATTTTTATAACAGCTGTATATTTTTTTTTGCATCATTCAAATTTTAAGTAGTAAAGGAAACAACTATAATTGTATGCTTTAATAACATTTTTTAAACTAGAAAAATATTTGTATTAAAAGGCGGCAATTTGTTTAGTGCTTAAAGCGGCACAATGGTTAAATTCAGCCCTGGTTTAGACGAACGGTTACACGATACATTTTTGACTTGTGTATTTTACTGATCTAAATGATGGGATAAACGAATTCCATAGACAAATTCATCTAGATTTTTATTTCGATCGCCAAAATACGTATAAAGATTTTTTAAGCTTTGAATTCTTAACCAAAGTTTATACGTTAAACGTAAAAAAAAATTCAACCTATAAAAATGTATAAATAACGGTAGTGTTTTTTCCCTATTGCACGCAAAAATGTTTGTTAATAGTACATAAAAATTGAAAATGTACTATTTTAATGTCAGATTCACACTGTTGCAATTTTTCGCATTCCGAATTTGCTTGGAGTATATGATTAAAAATTTTATAACTGGTTATTTTGGGAATTTTGAAGATCATGAAATAGCTAATTTCGATTACGTATAGACTAACTTGTTAAGCGATAGGACAGGGGGAACCTTGTCGGTTCTTCTAGTTGTTAATATCGCAATGTTTATTACCTTCTAAAGGTTATAAAGGTTAGATAGGTCAATAACTGTTTTACGAACCACCTCCCGACTGCATTGTGAACTGTATTCATTGTATCGTCATTCTAATATAGTAAATGGCATTATAAGTGATTACAAACGATTCAGTTATTTTTCTTAGTGACTCAGAAAAAATATTTATGCTTATCAAAATTATTTAAGCATACGTCTGGGCCAATGGTTTTAAGATATAGAACTAAAGTTGTTTGATAGTTTCTAATTATATACTCATACAATTAAAAATCAATAAATTATATCAATCTAATGAAACTTTCTATGAAACGAAATACTTTATGAAACCATGAAATTTTCATTTAAAAATATTTTTATCCAACGAAAAGCGCTTCTATTTAGCGAATTAATTTTGTATAATTTTGTTACGAAAAATTTAAAAACTATTGTTATTTTAGAAGTACACATTCGTCAATCATAACTAGTTAAATTCTCAAAGTCGGAATGGTACAAAACTCATTTAATTGAATATGTTAATTTAATTTAACGAATTTCTTTCAAAGAACGGTCATGTTGGTTTAATAGAGGTTTCACTGTACATATATTTTAATACAAGCTGTAAATATAATATTTATCAGAATAATTTGTCAATCATGTAAATGTTCAACAAAGAAAATAATAGTATATGCTCCATATATCACAGAAATTATAACTTTTGTCGCATGCATTGAAATTCTGACTACTTATGCCTCGATAGTCATATTTTATAAACAAGCACATTTTCATTTTACAATTCAGTTTTGAATGGATTTAGGTAATCAATAGTTTCGTACAGTGAATTTTTTTTTACTTTGTAATTTTATTTATTGGCATAATTTAAGTTATTCAGGTTGTCCAACGAGTCAATTAGAAATTTAATTAGACTGTATCTTATCGAAAACTAGAAAAGTAATTATTCCTTATAATGTCTTTGCGATGGTATTCCATTAGTTTACATATATTATGTTTGTGTTTGAATGGTGTGGTTAAGAGAGGAAGGGTATTAACGGACACCATGAGTTTCCATAGGACCATAGGCCCTCAAAAAAATCTTTATGAAGTATAATCTATTTTAAACTTGCTTTCGTTTAATTATAAAAAAAAATAATGTGTAATCAAAATATCAAACGGTGCAAGTAAAAATGGTCACATCATACTGTTTAAATATAATCCAATAATAATTATACTTGCATATAATGTGACGGTAATTGAGTAAACTATAATTAAAAATTTATATGATTTTAAAATTATAATGATAAAAAAATGTGACTACTGCGGGAATAAATAATTTAATTTCCAATTAAAAATTGAATGATACTTTGACCCCCCCCCCCCGTAAAAAATACAGCCAGAGTCAAAATTTAAGACTGAGATTCAGTTTTTGTCAACGCTTTACATCAACATTAGATTTAACAAATTATAATCAACAAGATTTTAAAACTTTTTATGAAAAAACAAATATATCTCCTATTATTTTGAGAATATGAATATTTTTTATTATGTTTTAATAAATTCAATAATATTAATACCTTATTTCAATTAAATTTGCTTATATGTGTTAACTATATATATGCGATTAAATTTAAAACATTTAAAAGCTTTCATTTTCATTTATTTAAAATTACCAAATTAATAAATTTATATTATTATATTTAAACAAAGAATAAATTATAAATAATTAGATAATTGTAGATCTGTGAATATGAATACTATCAATTTATTAAATACTGTGAAATTAATCAATAAGGTATTTTATAATTAATAACAATAATATATTATTTATTATATATTATTATTATAACAAAAAAAAAAACATCATAACATTTATTTTTGCATACAATATTTTTGATTGCATTGATTGTTTTTTTTTTTTTATTATTTTTAGTTTTTTATTTTAATATTTCTGAAGATAATAAATATGTAATATGTATTATACACTTTAGATGATGCACAGGCCACAACTATTTTTCTGATACACACTAATGTATTTTAATTATAAACGCACAATGATAATAGTTATTGTATAGTAAATAGCTGTACGTATTTACTTTCATATCTTAAGAAATAAAATTCAAACCTTTACTTCGATAGTATAGTATCGTTTGGATCCATGGCGTTAAACCAATCGATTTGTAGATTATTTAATTGATATTTTTGAAATAAGCTTATAGTGTTTATTCGGTTTTATTACTTAGAATATTATATACTATACATATTTATTTATTTATTACCATTGAAAGTCATATGCAATATTTACAGTAAAAAAATACTACGAAACGTAGTAAATAATGTTTGGAATAGTTTTCAATTTTTGATTAAATTAAAAACTAGTTTGTTGTCGTGGATTTTTGGAAGTATACATAATATTCATGAGTAAATATACTATTTGCTTTAATATTTATAGTAATAATAATAACAGTAATAATAAAATGTATCATAGTTACCCTTTTATTATTCCATCCTCCGTTGTCATTGTCAAATAATTGATTTGTGTACTTCCTTAACAAATAAATTACAAATTAAAAAAGTGTTATTTAGATGTTATAAGATATTAAGAGAGAAATGAATAATTGTTCTTAGATTTTTCATAAGTTTTTATATTTATTACATGTATTTAGGTAATCAACCTTAGTAATACATTTTTAAGTGACTAGCTTACTAGCTCAGCACTATAAATGTATTCATACATGTTATTAATTTAATTATAAAGAATGATAATATTATAGTTTAATCGTTATGGTGTTTAGTCAGGCGGTTTTTTTTTTTTTACTTCATGTAGAGCGTGAGAATGATTCACAAAAATGAAATTAATATTATGTTGGCTAGTATTATTCATTTTTCATTTATTTTCGAGAAATTTGCCAAAAATATTGAAAACAAGCTGACGTTGACTTTAGAAGTGAAAAAGTATTTCAATTACCAAAATTCAAAGTGTTTATCATTTATTATAATGTAACAATAATATTTTAAAATTTGTTTAGAACATTGTATTATATTTTTAAGCTTTTAAACACAGAAATATTTTACTAATTTAAAAGATATAAACCAAAAGTCTGTTTTTCTATTGTTTCTATTATTTTGGTGAAATATATGAAAAAATTTAAAATTACTCCTGTAAATTGTTTACTGTACGCCAATGAATCTACTTTCTAAAATTGCATAGAACAGTATAGCATGCATTTTTGTTAAAGTTATAATGACAGAGGGTTTAGTTACAAAAGCAAGAAAAAAAAACAATATTTTTGGAAAGCTTATATTTATATTATTTGATTCAATCAACATTTAAAATAAGTTATGAGTAGGTCCCGGATGTAAATATCTTTTATCATAGGGCCTATAAACTATAAAAAAACCTCTAGAAATGGTTATTAGTGCTCTTAAAAAATTAAAAGAGTATCATTGCTGAAGTATCTTTTATATGAAATAAATCATTTACTTGAAAAACAATGTCTATGACCACCAAAAAAAAAAAAAAAAATGAATATTGTGTTTTTATCCAGACTCTAGTTATAAGTAAGCTTTTATTTTTTAAAGGTTTCTAGTTAAATAAAGCAAAAAACAACATTTACAAACACACAACAAATATTTACACTTAACAATAATATAAAATTTCACATTTACACTTTATTTTAAAGTAAGGTATACATAAATTATAAATTTCAAATAATAATTAAATTCAATAATAATAATAAGTAAAAAAGTTGTACCTAGATTTTTTTTATGAAAGAGGGGATTCTAAGACATGATTATTAATTTTAGTCAGAAATGAAGTTAAATGTTGACTTTGATATAATAAAATTAAGATTTTTTTTTAAATTAAAACAATATAAGTAATATAAATATGTATAAAAATATATGAAAATAAAGCGTAGCAGTATGTTCGTTTACACTAATAATATATTTACGAGTATATATTTTTGAAGTGTAAACTGATTTGAAATATTTGAATCAATCTTATTATTTTTATAGAGATTTAATAGAACTAGGTAATTTAATCGTTTTTGTCCAGTTGAGTCAATCGTACTAATGTTTAATAATTAATACAATAATCCATCACTAAAATAAAAAAAAACTGGTTTGTCGTTTTGTGTATTATATGCTCTGATAAATCACAGATTAGTATCTGTAATAATTTTATACTTGTAAAAAAATAGTGATTAGAAATTAGCTAATTTTATATACTTAGAGTTATTAAATTTCAAATATTATTAATTGTTATCGACCGTCGATAATAATTTAATATTAAAAATGTATTGACATAGTATAAATTATTTATTTAATTTATTAATTTTAGTTAGTGCCAAAAATCATCAAAAATTTGTATGTCAATGAAAGTATTTGGTGTGGGGAGGGTCTAGATCCTTCTGCTCTCAGATATGGTTTTACCAAATTACATTTTATAAATCATAGCAATATATATTTTCTATAACACGATAAAACCTAATTCAAATTCACTTAACCTAAAATTTGTAAGTTGTACTTGCGTTTAGTAAATCATATTTTTCTGCATGCTAACGTTTCTAACAACGATAATATACATATGTATAACATTTAACTGTTTTTCTTATTAAACAAATATTTGTTTCTTTATTTAAAATATGAATAACGGTTGAGCTATTGATTTATTTATACTCATAAATTGATATATATATATATATATATATTTGCGTATTAATTTTATTGATAAAAATAAAAAAAAATTTAATAAATTAATAATATATAATAAAATTTACCAAAGTCAAAAAGTTCAAAGTTTTATTAACAGTTTGGTTGAAAAATACAAATGTTAAGAATACATAATAAGTAAAAGTTACAAGGAGAATGCAAGAAAACGAGAAATAAAAATTTGTAGATGTAGGTGTACTAGAAAATTGTTATAACTGTGCAAACGTGAACAAGGGAAGAATTTGAGGGGTTCAATCCCCTCCCCCCGAGATATAAGAAAAAATGTTAAAATTATATGAATATGATACACATATGTATAAAAAAGATCTGAACTGCAAATAAATTAGTAATTTTAAAGTTTTCTATTAGATTTGCAAAAAAAATATGTAGGAATATATTGTATAATAAGTAATAAAGCATGCTATTTATTAACATTTTACAATATACATATATTATAAACTCTTAGCCCAGAAATTTTTTCTTGCGCTCGCCTCTATAATTGTGAAATTAACTGAAACTTTGCTCGCGTAACCAGGGAAATTGAAAAAAATAAAAATTAGGAATCTTACGAATTTTTTGGTTTTTAATTAAACAAAATATGATTTGGATATGTAGGCGCAACTACAGCTCAAATATTGGGGATGCTGAAATTACATAATTCACAATAACCCCCCTTCCAAGTACCTTATCTCAATTTAATCACTGAATGTACCATAACAACATACATACACTAATATTTTAATTTATAAATATTAACAAGCCTAACCTATATCATTTTATTTAAGTCATACAGTACTATAAAATACACAAATTAAAAAAATATTATACAATACAGTGACGTATTTTCAATTTTTTCTGAGGGGTCCACAGTTTATACATAATTAATATAAACTATATATTATATTGTAATAGTTACGTCCTTATGCAGTTTTTGGAGGAAGTTGAACTAAATATATAATGTAATAATCGTATTGTCTTATGTAATATTATATATATACTTATATATTGTATTTAGCACTATATATTATAAAGTACTGTTATAAAATAAATTCCAGTTGTCTCAATTTTTTGGTCAACTATTCTATCACTTCATCAACAATAATTTCAACTTCCCTGAGAATGTTTAACATAGCCATTTCTGCAAATATGTAAGAATTTTAGTTTATTTATTTATTTTTTTTTTTTTGAGAGGTTCTGGGGGGGTCCAGTACCCCTAAACCCCCCCGTAAATACTCCACTGATACAATATATAATATTCACACTAGTATTATCTTGCGATGAATAGTGGAATATTTTTCAAATATTTCTGACTGTGTAATTAACTTATAGACATAAACAATTAAACTTTTTGATAAAAGCATCAAATAAAAATAACTACATAAAATAAAAAAAAACCCTATTTTTATATAATTTTTCAATCGTTAATTTTTTAACTGGGGGTGCTAAATTAGAGCCTAGGGGTGCTGTAGCACCCCCAAGCACCCCCCCCTAGTTGCGCCTATGTTTGGACGCTGTTGAAGATAATAATTATTTTACTGTTAATGCGAAGAGTATTGATTATATTCGTATAAAGAACAACATAAGTATTTTAATTCAAATCTGAGAGTCGTACAATACGAAAACATGCAAATATTAATCAAATGTTTTTATACCTACGTATTGTTAATCGATTGTTGTTATTTTTAACGGTGACATGTTAGCAAATGAGCTCCCTACGTAGATAAATTAGGGGCTTCAAACTTTTTACAGATGCGTTGTATTTTATGTTTGGGTTAGATTGATTGGACAGATGGTATACCACGGGAGGTATACCACAATTCTTGAGTGGGAGAGTATTTCATTTGGGCTGCCAATAGTTGGTGACTGAAAAAATAATATAAAATTCTAAGTTCTTTTTGAACCATTTTGTTATTATAACTAATTATGTATCCCATTATTACATGAATATTATTCTTTCACTCGATATAAGGTGATTCTCATTTGGATCCAGGATCACATAAGTTCTGGTGGTGTTAATAAATGATTAACTAGTACTAAGGCGAACATATTAATATGTACAGACACTATATGATTAATATGTCATATTTTCGAATAAAATAAAAATAATTTATTCGAATTTTGTTGATTATCTAGTGCAGCGGTTCCCAAACCATGGGCTGCGGGCATCGTTGAACTGGGCCGCAGACCATCACGACTCACGTCTATATTTCTGATTAAAATAATAGTATTACATATTTTTATTGTATAATAATATTTCTGATTAGGTACAAAAATATTAATAAGGCTATCTAGCAATTACCAAATTGCAGTAAGAAATTTGATGGGCTTTTCAAAAACCTATCTGTGTGTGCATCTGTGTGCGCGAGCTTTTTTCATTTTTAAAATATTTTCTCTTTTATAAAATAAATATACAAATAAACTGAATGTTGAAAGTGATTTGAAGCTAAAACTGTTCAGTTTTAATTCAGATATTGACTCTTTTGTGGGGACAAGCAATGTTCAAATATCATTAAATTGATTAAATTATTAACTTGAGATTAATTAGATTAAATACATTTTTTTACTTAACCCTTTCAAACCCAATGTTCCCTCAGGGGGAAATTATTTTCAAATTGTTTTTCTATAGTTTAAGATTGTTTAATCGTTATAAAAATGCATGTACGTTGTTATTAAACTAATGGTTTGAACTAATGATTACGAAAATCATAATATAAATTATGTATTTCATTCCGCAAAAGTATTACACTAAATATAAGTTGCAAATATTTTGAAAAATAAATTTATAATTACAGTTGTTAATAAATATTTATTTTGGAGTGGGACACGACTTTAAAATTTTAAATAAGTAAAAAATTATTATCCAAAAAAATTAATTTTGGTTCTGAAAGGGTTAATAAACAATTGATTTTTAATTATTTTTATGATAACTGATTGACAACTGACCTATGTACACATTATATATATAGCTATTAGAGCTCGTGATTTTGACTGGGTGTTAACCGACACGTGTACATGAATCCAGGTGTTTTGAACGTATGAATTACAAGTTTATTTAAATTTCGTTATAAATAATTGAAACAGTTGAAACTGTAAGATTCAATTATAAAATGTATAGTTGTTCTACCTATATAATATATATCATAATATATAGTTATATATTATATAGCTAGAACAACTATACATTTTATAATTGAATCTTACAGTTTCAACTGTTTCAATTATTTATAACGAAATTAACTGTTTATCATAATATATAGTTAAACAGTTAATTTCAAAACTCAATGTCAATGCTGGATCACCCATTAGGCGGAGTTGGCCTTAGGACATCACTAATTTAAGGGGCCCTGTGAAAACTATATTTTTTTTATTTAATAATACCTGTATTTTATTTACGAATTTACGGTACAAAATTTATTATGAAATATAATATATATTAAGTTGTAGGTGTTATTTGCAGTAATAATAATATAATTATTTTGAAAAAAATAGAACATAATAATTAATTAATTTTTCTTGCAAATAAAAAAATTTAATAAACATGATTTTATTTATTAATAATAGTTGGTTATTATTAAAGCTGTATTTTGATATTTGGATAGTAATGTTAAAGATGTATGTAAAAAATAATTTTGTAGGGCCCAAAATGTTCCATCTAACCATCAAAAATATAGTACTTATTATTTTATGCTATATTATTATATAAAAATAAAGTCATTTTAGAATTTCCATAAATAATTGTATCAAACAGGTGAATTAAAATATAATAAAGCAATTTATCAAGCTAAACATTTCGTATAGGTTAAAGTAACATTTGTTATTAAAATAGTTATGATTTCGTTTTTTTTCTTTATTAGACCAACCAATTATTCTTGTATAGTATTTATATTAAATATGTATTATCATATTATCTTTAAAATGAAGTCGAAGGTCAAAATCCAAATTTAATAATGTTCCATAAAATATTATTATACAATAATTATTAGTATTGTCTAGATTACGCGAAGACTTTATGCTACACTTTGTGATAGTACTTGATGGCATTTATATTTAACATAGATTTTTAAAACTCTTTATACATTTTCAAGTAGTTTGTAATATATTATTTGAATTTCCAATACAATTCAATCATTATAATTAAATATCAAACATTAATTAGAATATTTTCAATTATAGTGATGAGCACTTTCAAAAATATATAAAATATTTGTGTTTACATTAAAACAGTAAAAATGCATTTACTTGATTCAATATATTTGTTATACGATTTACAATGTTAAGGTACGGCACGGACCGAATTTTTTCTTACAATTTTGAGTTTACAGTGATGATATATTTTAATTAAAAAAAAATTTGAATTAATTTTTTTAAAAAAAAAGGTCCAAATAGTATTATACTATTATATTATTTATTATCTTATTTTTTTTTAAAACATTTTAGTGAACTTTATTTATATTATTTTAAGATTTTGTAATAAAATTTAAGAAGACAATTTTTCAGATATTTTATTAAATCAAAATATTCTTTGTACTCAATATAATATTTAAATCATTTAATCTAGAAAATAACTTGTTGGGTGGCAGTATTGTGCAACACAGTTCCCGGTTTCAAAAAGATAATAACTTGTTATAATTTGTATGTGATTTTACTTCATTTTAATTACCTGATTTTAAATTGTTATTTTACTGTCATTTTTATTCAAATAAATTTACTGTATTTATAATAATAATAATAATAATTTCTGTGTTCACACTACATGGACACTTGACGTAGGTACCGACACGGACCGGTACGTACCGCACCGTCAAAACATTCTTTTGAATTATGATTTGCCGGTCCGGTCCGTGGCTGTAACGTAACTGCGCGGTGCCGGCCGGATCAATGCGAATTATTTCATAAAAACTGATCATATATTTTGTCGTGACTGTATGTGCCGTGCCGCAACAGCGTGAACGGGCCTTAAACTAATTGTACGAATAACAATTTATTAAAATTACTATGTATATAAAGCATGGCGATTATAATAATTTTCAGCTGATTGAATATAGGATATATAATTTAATGTATAATATGTGTATACATGTATTATATTAGGCGTGTTTGACCTTTGTAATAATACAATTCCAGTAACAGATAAAGAAAAAGCAGTGGTTCCCGATTGAACACAGTTCATATTTTTTAACAACCCGATTGAGCACGTTTTATGTTTTTTAATGGCCTGATGGAGCACTGAAAAATATTCTTATTCCACGCAATGTTGTCAATTTTTCGATTTGTCTTCAACCTGGCATCACCATTGTTTACGGTTTTCATACAAATAATAATCGTACAAACGATGTGTCATTTATAGGATTATTCGTTACATCTAAAAATACAGGTACGCGTCTAATTAAATACATAACACAATTACATAACATACGTTTGTACCATCATTATTTATTATCTCTATTTTTGTGATTTTTAAAGTAAACTACTAAAATAGACTTTCGATTTTAATATTTTTATTACTATTTATTTTATAAATAAACGCATAATACTTATGTGTTGATTTACATTTGATTTATATTGTGGCCTTAATTGTGTTGATTTTGTATATTAGCCGTACGAAATAAATAAATAAGAACTACTAAAATATCCAATATCGAATTGGTTCCATTCTCAGTCGTTTCACCGTATGAGTATCGTGTATAAACTTCTACTACATACTTAAACTTTTAATAAGCGTATCTGACTTTTTATTATAATTTACTATTTTATATATACTAATTTAATAGTGAAAATAGTGAAATAAATTAGAACTTACTATTCACAATTCTATAAGTTACATCTATACTTACACTTGGTAATTATGATTTTATAATAAACTTAGGCTAAAGCGATGATGAAAATTAAACTAATAGAAATAAACAGTCATAAAAATATGTGATTAATTAAAAGGCAACAAATAAATGCTAACCATAATGGCCTACGAGGAATTTTTAAAAATTTTAAATTCTAATAATTTACTTGAATATTTATTAAAAGTGGGAAAAAAGTATTTAGGGATACCACTTAAAATTTTATTAATAAATATGTATTTTAATTATTTATTTCAAAGTATAAAACATTAATAAAAATGGCAACATTGTAGTTATTTCTATGCTCAATCGTGGCGTGTTTTAATAGTTTATAGGTTTTCTAAAGTTTAATTGCATTTGTGCTCAATCGGCCGTGAAAAAGGTAAACTGTACTCAATCTGGTATTAAATAGAAATATAATACCCATACAAAATTATAAAATATCACAATATTAAATAAAATGAGGTAGGTAGATAAATTATATAAATTGTATGAATTATATAAATTATAAGAGCCAATAATTAAAATTGAAAGGAACATATGTTAAAATAAAAATTAAGATCTAGGTATAATAATGAATTTTTTATCCCTTTTTTTACACCCAGTAACTGATCTAATGAATCACTTGTACGTCTTACAAAAAATGCCAATAAGGATCCAACCTTTAATTTTTAGTTTAATATCTATTTCTTTAAATTTTGCTTATTGGCTCTATTTTCATATTATTTATAATACTTCTGTTTCTGGAGAACTTCGAAATTAATTTAAGGTAACAAAAATGGCGAATCAAATTTGTCATCAAGCAAGTTTTTTAGAATCCAAGTTAAGATGTTCAGCAATAATCGAATATTTTGATGTGTATATAAAAAGAGATATTTGAATTGTAAATTTATAATAAATAAATAAAAAAAGTGTAAATACATTTATGATTAAAAATAAACGAAAATATCGAATATGATTAATAATAAAATACATACGAGTGAATTCGCCTGGTCGTTAATATTATAGTATCATTTGATTAACGTAAAATCATTTAACAACCACTTTTTGAATTCATAACTAGATTTGCTTTTTGAGAAATTATCATTTATAATATTTCTATAACAACTATTAGAAATGTAATAATAGTTATTTTACATCGATTATGTTATTCGTCTTATAAAAACGTTTCGTTATTAAGATGTTCAGGTATGAATGCATGCGTAAACACACGTATAACAAATATATTTGATATTTTTTAAATAGTTTTGAAAATAGTACATGTACATGATACATATAGTTTTCACTTTCTTGTAAATTGAAACAAATAATTGTGGTAATCTTTTAATTGCCCATTTTAAATCCTATTTATTTAGCCATATTTTTATATATTGTTTAATTCGAATTATTTTATCTATTCAAACTATTTTTTAACCATAAGATTCCTGTGTCTGATCCATGCAGTTTTATTCGCTGTTACTTCTAAATCGTTATGGACTTATAACAATCTATACATCTTATACATTCTTAATTACTATTATAATATTATGATTGCGTTAGTTGTTATAACGAACATTCTAACCTTTCTATTAATTGCTTCATCCAAGGTTTTTGTATAGAAAAATTTTTAAAAAAAAATTAGTTGAAATATTCAAAAAAATTAATAAATTACATTTTTGGCGGAAAATGTTCAAACAAATTGATAAATATAATATTGTATTGAATTAAGAATCAAACCACTTTATTTCACACACAACTACAGACTGTCGTTTTGTAAGTGTTTTATTAAATACTGTACACATTTTAATAATTGCTATGATAAAGCACGAATATGCGTACATTATGTTGGTAATTTATTTGCTATCACTATGTATGAAGTATAATTATATCGTCACATCAGAAATAGTATGTAATTTTTTTTAAAACAAAATGTTAAAATTTGATATTTAATATACTTATACATATTATAATATTTTTTTATCTTAGTTTAAATAATCTAAACATATACATTTTCACGTAATATAATTATAGTTTATCTTAATATGCGTCCACGTTATAGAACCAAAACAATACAAAACACACGTGAACGAATGTTGGGAGTCAAATGTATCAGTGTAGACTTTGTGTTCCGAAGCTTTTCCAACGCTCATTCGGTTTGGATTATCTTCACTCAAAGATCGGTACATCAAATAAAAATGTGTTTATAGTTGAACGGGATATTTGTTATTCGTCATTGGAAGTGGTTGGTTTACGGATTTATATGTTTCTCGCTATATTCTTTTAATTTATCTAAACACTATCAGTACAGCACGAAAACTGAATATAATAATGTCTGTGTTTTTGCCTTTATTGATAAAATAAATTGCTATTGTTGTAATAAGTTTACTTGAATATTTTTAAATTGTTTTTATCTGTCTATTATCTGGAATGATTAAATAACATAAGCTTTACAGCTTATAAATCAATATCAGAAAAATGTTTACCTTATTTTTTATTTTTAGGATTATTAATTCAAGATATCTTAAGTTTCCGATAAGTCATGCAAGAGGGCAGAGCGACAAGGAGCAACTACCCACAAAATATCGTTACACTGATGGCAATACTACGTACTTGACATTTTACATAAAATGAGTTTTTGGTATCAAAATTTTGTTAACCCCTTGTGCTCAAAATTTATTTTCTATACAATAACCTAAAATAAATTATTTTCCTTCCAAATTGGATATATTATTTAGTATTTTTATAAATTTCAACCATGTTAAAGCACTGCTCAATAACACGTATCTCTCAAAAATTTTAGTAAATACCAAGTAACTACATTCAATTTTATATAGCAACCAAATTTAAAGAATTTTATTGAAAATAATGTATTATTATTAATATTATTTAATTAAAAATAATGTTGAATAATCATAACTTAAATTTAAACTTGATAAAAATATAAGGTGTATAATATTTGTTAATATTTATTCAGTTTTTTTCACTCTCCTAAACAATTAGGTAGTGAAATGTAGATACGTGGTATTGTCATTAGTGTATTATATGTATATTATAGGTATAATTTATTACTTTGTGTTTTATAATTATTATTTTCAGATGAAATTTGATAAAAATATTTCGTACATACATTTTATTATTGCTTTATGATGATCGAAATTTTTTTTATTATGAATTTTATTGAATTGTAAAAGTCATTCATTCGATAATTCCAATAATATTTTAGATATTTATAACTGTTTACAAGCAAAATTTAAACAGAATTCAAATTTACTGCAGACCCTATCAGTATGGGCATTGTGAGAGGGGTGTAAGGGGACTTGCACTTGCACCCACTGGATTTAAAAAAAAGAATACATATAAACATGCAGGATAGAGACTATTATTATCATTAATAGGTTTTCTAGTAGCCTGAATTACTTTGTAGCTATCGAAAAAACCGAAAATAATTTTGTATAATTTTGTCATACAATTTGAAAAAATATTTCTACGCATTTAACTGAAATAATTTAAGCGTTATTCAAAAATTAGCATATATACTATGTATTTTGATATACCCCTCCCGCCCTGACAAAATTCTTCGCATCATTTATGCTCATCAGTGTCAATCAATAACTTAAAATAACTATAAACAAGACGAACTTTATAAAATATTTCAGAAATTATGAAATATTAATAAAATATTAATATAAAGACTCATTTAATGTCTTGAGTAGGTACTACTGAGATGGGACCAGACCAAATATTTTAGACAATTTTCTTAACCGGACCAGACCAATTCCTAAAATATATTTTTCAACCCAGACCAATTTGAACAAAACTCACAATTTTTTTAAAAGACCGGATCAGCCCAGTTTGGATTTTATATAAAAAAAAAAACCAACCCGGACCAGGACCATTTTTATTTGTTAATATAAACCCGAACCATGACAAATATGAAAAAACATGAAAGTCCTTGGCCTTTGCTCTAATTATAATATTAACTACCTAATTAAAAATTAAATTAATGTTATGACGATTAGCCGATGTCCATTGGTAGTAGGTAGATTTCCTAAATAATTGGCCTAATAATTTTTATTTAAAATAACAATTTCGTAGTAATTACTAAATACTTATGCTTACTTTTATGTTCGTGGAATGGATCAATGATTGATCATTAATCAAATACCGATGCAGCGATGCTTCTCCGATGAACGAACAAAATAAAATAAAACAACTTCAAACATTTACATTTCAGAGTATTATTTGTACATCTATAGCAAGGGTGCCCAAACCCAGGCCCGTCAACGCTTTTGGATTTGCCCGCCAACATCTATACTCTATAGTCTATGACATTTTAAATTATTATTAATATTTCTTTTAAGTTTAAATTTTGTTGTATATTTTATTTTATATACGTGTGTGTATCAAATTAGCACTAGGACCATTCCACACAGCAATGTTATCGGGTTTTCCTGTGATGACCGGATGCGTTTTACCCGAACCCGCATTTGTCGCGATGTTAATCGGTATTATTTTTATGTTTATAGATTATCTTGATTGTCCGTCGACGTAGTCGTCGTATATCGGCGAGTTAAGATAATAAATTGTTATTCGAAATATTGTACAAACAGCGACCAAAAACAGTCGCTCCGCACCCGCCTTTTGCTACGGTCGTAAAAATAATACGTACAACTTAATAAATATTAAATTTTTTTGTAATAATTGCGTTTATTCTGTGTTTTTACTTGTTAATTTTAAGCCAGAATGGCTCTCAGCAAACCAATTACGTCGAAATTGAAAGAACGTTCTCGGACATTTCACGAAGAATGGGAGATGCAATATTGCTTTACTGAAAGCAAAGCATTGAAGCCCATATGTCTTATTTGCTCCACTACGATTGCCGTCGCCAAAAAATATAATTTAGAACGGCATTTTAAACAAAATCATTCAAGTATTAATAAAAACTACCCGGAAGGAAGTTCTCTAAGAGCTGAGTTTATAAAGAAGAAAAAAAAAGAAATATTTGGTCAGCAGAATTTATTTGTAAAAAAATTTGATGAACTCGAATCTATGGTAAAAACATCATATGTGATATCTTTACTTTTAGCCAAAAATAAAAAGCCTTTTTCTGATGGGGAAATTATTAAAGAGGCTTTATCAATTTTTTCTAATAACTGTAATGATAAAAATATAAAAACTAAAGCAGACGGTATTTCACTTTCGAGAAATACTGTAACAAGACGAGTAGAGGAGATGTCAAACGATATTAGCAACCAAATAACACAAACCGTAACGAAATGTAAGTATTTTTCATTGGCGTTGGATGAAACTTGTGATTTGACGAGTATGTCACAGCTAGCCATCTTCGTGAGGTGTGTTGATGAAAATTTTAATGTATTTCAAGATTTATTAGAGCTCAGCCAGTTGGAAACTACAAGTACCGGAAGAGACATATTTATGAAAATCAAGGAATGTGTCGACAGAAAAGGTATAGCATGGGAAAAAATTAATTCTGTTTGTACTGATGGAGCACCCGCTATGACGGGAAAAATAAATAGTTGTGTGGCCTTGTTAAAACAGTTCTTAGGCCGGGAATTATTTTCATATCATTGTATCATCCATCAGGAAGCTTTATGTGCCAAAGATATGAAGTTTAATGATGTTATTGATCCTGTAGTACGCTGTATTAATTATATCCGAGCCAAAGCTCTTCATCGAAGACAATTCAGGGTTTTATTTGAAGAAGAAATCAATGAATTCGGTGAGTTACATTTGTATTGTGCTGTCCGCTGGTTATCTAAGGGTGAAATGCTGAAACATTTTTTTTCTTTTGCGGAGAGAGGTCTTGCAATTTTTAGTAGAAAAGCAGGCAATGCCTGATGAGCGAGATTTACTTGAAAGTGAATCATGGTTATGCGATCTTGCGTTTTTAATAGATATTACACAGCACCTCAACATACTTAACCGGAAGCTGCAAGGGAAGGACTGTTCGTTACCAATAATGTTCAATTTGGTTTATGGATTTAAAGCGAAACTCTCCCTTTTTTTTTGACAAATTTGACTAGAAATAATATCGATCATTTTCCTACGCTTGTAGATATAAGAGGAAAACTAGAAAATACTTCACCTGACATCTCGAAATATCAAACACAAATTAAATTATTGTTGCAGTCTTTTGAGAACAGATTTCAGGATTTTGAGAAGGACAAAAAAATATTTTGTTTTTCATGAACCCATTTTCAATCACTTTTAGTGAAATACAAAAATATTCATGCAATATCCAGTTGGAAATCACAGAAATTCAAAACCACGTTTCCTTGAAGCAGATATTTACCGAAATTGTATCATCACAACCACAACTGCAGTCTTCAGAAAATTTATTAAAATTTTGGAAATTAGTACCAAAAGAAGACTTTCCTGCAACGTGTGATCTTGCCTTGCAGATTTCAAGCAGATTTGGATCAACATATATTTGCGAAAAAGCTTTTTCTACTCTAACCTATGTCAAAAATAAATATCGTAGTTCGTTAACTGCGCCTCATATTTCAGATTTGATGTTGTTATCAACATCAGATTTATCACCAGATATTGAAAAATTATTAGCTAATAAGTCTCTTCATAGGTCTCACTGATGTTTTTTTTTAAATATTATTAAAAATTAAAACATGTGAAATTTAGAATGTTGTTTAATTTAAATACCTATTTGTTCTATCTAATTAAGTATCTATTGAAAATAGAATTTTAGATGAATTATAAGTGTAAGAAAATCTTGTTCATAACATGGCCCACCAGCTAAATGTAATTGCAATTATAGCCCACTTCCAAAATAAATTGGGCACCCTTGATCTATAGGGAGGGATCGAACTTCGGGGGATGGAAAATGAGGGTGGGGATCAACATTATTAAGCCAGAATCCAGTGACGGGGGCGTCCAGCCAAGCCCCTTTCACTGGCGATGTCACTGCTGAGACAGTTGTGTTCTCTAAGGACACGCATCGGAAAATAGGCAATACTGAAGAATTGGATCGGACTGAAAATATTCAAGGCGAACAAGCTAAAGTACGAACAGACACACAGTCTGAAAGACCGCAATCTTTGACAAGACCACAGGTGGAGGCTAAATACTCAAAGCTATTAGAAGATACTTTTTCATGTTTAGAGACACTGGAAGCATCAGTTGCTGCAGCGCTAAATACGAATTTAGACATAAAGACTGTACCAGATCGCTTGGGAAATGTTTTAGGGAGTTCACTAAAATAACCAAAGTTATTGGAATGACAAGGTCCCCAGAGGTCACCGAACAACGTTTGTGGACGTTGCAACAGCAGCACCAATAACAGTATCTTCAAACACTAGAGAAGATTAAAGAGCTCCTGGAAGATAATCATCATCTGCGAACAACTCTTAAGCCTTCACAGTCTTAGTCAAATACTCTGCTTAGGCAAGATTACGATATCAGAATCGACACTATCACGTGAACTAGCAGAGTCTAAGGTTGTATCGGAAGGCAAGTTAGATGAACTCTCCAAATCCATGGCGGATATTATGAATTATATTCATGGGCAGCTGCAAAACCAACAGCAACAGAAGCAACAGAACCCACTTCATCAATCACAGCCGAAACAAAGCAAGCCACAACAACAGAAGCAACAAAAACTTCCAAAGCAGCAAAACAAACCGTCAAGGTCACTGCAGGAGGAAGAGCAACAAGTACAACGGCAGGTACAGATAGAAGGAAGCTCCATAAAAGAGACTACTTCTATTACGGAGAAAATGCCAATTTGAGTTCCCCAAATTGGGATAGACTACTAAGAAAAAGCGCAGATTACCTAAAAAAGAAGCGAGAGAGTCTAATAAATGAGAAGAGAGTGCCGTGGATCTCGTACCATGGACTGAGGTGGTCACAATAACCGACTCAATCGAAGAAGAGACCTACGTCTCCGTCATGAAGCGGGTAATGAATAATTATTATTAATTATATTGGTGGGTGAGAGCTGACGGCATGCCTTACGGCGCTCTCAGGCTCATCTCTAGTAGCTACGATCAAATATTTATTGAATAATAGTAGTAAAGTATTACTTAAGAATTACTTAAGTAATTAATATATAATCGAAATTCATTGAAATACCTGTTTCTTCTACATTTAATCTCTTTAATGCCCATAGACTTCTTTGCGAATTTTGGGTAAGACATTTTTCGAGAGATACTGTCCTTCATCACCCTCTCTATAATCAAGGTTATGGAATAATATAGACTAGAGTCTCTGCTATTGAAAAAAATGTGGTTCTCATCCTTAAAATATACTTATATTCAAATATCTCTTAACATATGCTACTAACAACTTTTGAAAATGTTAATTACCGCTTGAAAGGAATGATTATCTTTACAATATAGAAGATATAAATAAATGGTGATTAAATGAAAAATTCAGTTTAATAATTTAATATTAACCACTTATTCATATTTAATCATTGTTTTAAACTTTTTTCTTTATGTTCTATATCTAAAATCTTTTCATGACCATATTGATGATTAATGAAAATTCGTTGCTTTAAACTTTTATCAAACCTATTTAAAAAAACAACGGTTGGAAATTAAAAATAACAATGAGCTTAACTCCTAGATCGGTAGATATACAGACACGGTTCAATGGCATTACGGTATTGGTCATTTCAACTTAAAACTAATACATCGTTGCCTCGAGATACAATTCTGAGCACAAAATGTCGGTGAAATCAGAAATTCGACATAGTTTACTTAGTAGTAGCACCAATTTCTTGGTTAAGTAGGTAAGGTTAAGTTAGGTAAGATAGGTTAATTGAAATTTGCAAATGCTTATAACTAGCAAACAATGTATCAAAATATTTGGAAAATTGTATAAAATATATATAAAATTCATATAAGTATTTAGTGTCGGGCTGGTCATGGCAGCTAAGCAGCTATCGGTGCCTGGGCCTTTGTTTTACTCAATATACTACACACACACACACAATATATGAATACATTATAGTTTATAAATTATCTTTCTATGAATCTTCAAAAAAACAATATCACTTAACTATGTATAAGCATGATCAACGCTTACAACATTTAATATCAAATTTAAAAAAGTAATGATGATAAAAATTATTTTTTATAACAAATGTAAAGATTTTTTAAAAAAAATAATTTTTTTTTAAACGAACAAGAGCATTTCGAAGAAAAATAAAATATTTAGATAAAATATTTCTGATAACATACAAAATATTAATCTAATGCTGTAAAATAATAAATTTAATGATAGTATAAATTTGATAGCATACTTGATAGTATTGCATTAAGGTTTACTTCAAATGTGGTTTTATTGACAAATTGCAGTTGATTGGATTAAACAAATAAAGTTGAGACTGTGGAACTTATATAATAAAATAAATATAAATAATGGAAAATTAGTATTATAATTTATTTTATAAAGTTTAACGATGTACAAATTAAATAATATAGAGCTTGTAGAAATTTAAAATGAATTTACATTTATTCTATGATTTAATTTACCTAATTGCCACAAATATAAATAATGAAATTAATAATGCACGAGTACTCAGGTAGGTTGGTCCTTTAAAAATCACTTACATCCTGCCTGGGCTCTTTGATGTCCAGGCCGACTTTGTATGTACTTATTATAGTTTAAGGGAATAATGCGTGACAAAATACTAAACGGTACTGAGTTCAAAAATGAGTGCGGTCTACATGATCTAACGTTTTGGAAAATTCGGTGTATATTACATCGACTTGCTTGTGTTTTCGAAAGGATTCGTATATATATATGAAGTGAGTACAAGATTGCAGGTTGTAGTAGGACGACCTGGTACAAATCCGTACAGCTCCTCCTCAAGACTATGATTGAGAGGAAAATGTATAGAATTTAGAACAATTGATTAAAAGAACTTGGAGAGATAAGAAATCATTTTTAAAAACATTAAAATATCCTACTTCAGAATTGGAAGGAAATTCAAGATATTATATATCTGTCAGTTTAGAAAAGATATATAATGATGAAAATATTAAAAAATATTTTGAAGAAATGGCATAATTGTGTTACTTCAAATTTAAAAAACTGTTTATTGTTTCAATATTAAAAAACCCAAGGCACGTAAGTCCTACTGCATAAACTGATGCATAGCGAACATTTTTTTGAAAATACAAATGCATTATACATTAAATTTAATAGTTAGTAATATTATCTTGGTCGTGGAAAGTATAAAATAATTTATACCGAAAATATCTAGATTGGAATTTAAAATTATTAAATTAATTTAAAATTTTTTGGTATTCAATCTAATTATGTGTTTATGCATAATTTCATGTTTGCACGTTTTTAATACAACACATTCCTATAAATGTTACATAAAATATATATTAGTCATACTAATCAATATCAAATTTATTAAGGTATTATATAATACTATGTATTTCAATTTCTTGATTATTTCATTTGAATATTTTTATATTTGAAAAATATATTTTAGCTTTAGTCCAGTGGTTTTCAACCTTTTTTACAATGCGGCACACTTCATCTCCAACAAAATTTTCGCGGCACACCAATCCATAAATTATGTGAACCATATTTTATACATATGAATACTATTTACAGTATACTCTATTAGAGGGTTATTTATTGTGAAATATATTAATACAATCGATCGATCGAGACGGCCGCGACGGGCATACTTACAATAAATAATATTATATGTATCTACGATTAGTTCGATCAGTTTTCATATCGAATATCAATAATAAGCTGGTAAATACATACTTATAAAACAATTTATAGATTTATCACGGAACATTTAAAGGGCGCTCGCGGCACACCAATGGGCCGCGGAATACCGGTTGGGAATCACTGTTCTAGTCCAAGGTAAATGATTTAATGGATTATTTAATTTTTATCTTTTTTTTTGTGAAAAAGGAATTTAAATTTATGATTTAACTGATCATCAACTAATTATACTTGTAGTTATAATCATATTTTTAAATGATATGTAAGTATGAATTCATATTTTGGGTCTTGTTTTTATTTTATTTTAAAAACTTAATTGAATTTTATATTGTACAGTTGAAATAGTTTGTTAATTAGCCAATCAAAATATTTAGATGCTTCTTTACTTATAAGAAGAAAATTAGTAATGGTTGATCCAGGTCACAACGAAAAAAAATTAAAGAGGGTTTTCTTTTAAGACAACTATAATAGAAGTATTTAACATATGAATAGTAATAAAAAAATTGGACTCGTTTCAAAGAACCTAAATACGTAGAAAATAATCGATATTAACTAGAAAGTTGTTACTTATGGTTGAGTTGTTATACACAGAAAATAAACCAAAATATTTTTATATTTTTCATGTTATTATTGTATAATACAAGCATATATTATTATTTACGACAAATGGTAAATGTAAAACAAAATCTTATGATATCAATATCTTGCACAGAATAGATTTTACAATTTTGTATTTATAGTTTTTAGTTTTAAGCATATTTGTTTAAGAACAAGTAAAATGTTTCTTAAAGTAAGTATTTTTTTATACTATAATAATTATCAATCATTGTTGTAACAAAGATACATAAATCGTATTTAAACATATTTGTCATCA